CGGCTAATAATTTCGTCCACAAAAGTGCTCTGCAGATAAGGAAGACAGATTTAGAGTCAGCGTTTTATGCTGCATCTAATGGTATGCAGCTTGTATGGATTGGCCACTTCGACTTCTGACCATTCTTTTATCAGTTTCTCTAACTTCATCTTCAAAGCATTTAGTCTTCTCAATCACTAGGTCTTCCTTATTGATACTCCTGCCTTCGATGCCATAACGACGCGCTTTTTCTGAATATCAAAAATTATTGATAACAGTGATTATATAAAACAAATAAATCACCTTTGACGGAAGAAGCGCGGCTCTTTTGGTGTCAAAATGGTAAGTGCAGATGTCTGTGCTGCAAAATTGCAGTTGAAAAGTATTCCTTTTACTAATTGTAAGTAAGTCAAATTTTGTTTCATATATCACATTTCAGTAAAAAGACTGCTGTATTAGTGCCTCTTTGAACAAGAAACATGTAGGCCGACCAACCATCCACTCGAGCTCATTTTCCCCATTTTATATTTGAGAAATGATCCAAAACTTAAATGAATTTCTGCTTAGTGCTGTTATTTTTGAAAAAAAGGGTTGAGATACCATGCTGATTATTTTGTCAAATCAGAAGATCGTTATGCCTACAGAAAACCATTTGGTTTTAAGTATTCATCAGTCCGATATTATTTCCTCTTTCTCATAATGTCACCAAACATTTGCCGCTTTCAACATTATGTGTTGAATTTGAATGGTATCAGATCACTTCGACCATTGCTGATTTTTGAATCTACTGGAATACTACTGAAGGTTTCAAGTGCAGCTACAATTATAGATGTGACTTTTTTGCCAAAGATTTCGTTTTTCATACTCAATATCATATATGAGGTCGTAACCCATCATCTCAGTCATATTTCAACATTTTATATTGGCAGCGCAAAAGTAGTGAGATTTTGGGGCACTTCGGATTCAAAGAGAGTAGGACAGACTAGAAGGGCCTCCTGAAAAGGAAAAGAGGGGATTTTGGAGAGCTTTTCTGAAGCAAATTTTGTGTGCGAGAAAAAAGGTGTAAACAGTTTCAAATGAGAGTTTTAGGAGATAAGAAAAAGAAGAAAGTGCATGGATTTTGGCAGTGTGAATGGTGATTCGAACCTTTCGGCAATGAAAAACCAAAGTATATGTGCTCTGACTATGTGGAGCGGGATAATGAGAGCAATTTGCACCATTTGGGATAGTGTAGGTGAGGGGTGCGATACCGTGGCTGAACAGTCACGGAAGTACAGCTGGCTCTTGGAAGTGTGGAAAAACCTGCACTTTGGTCAGGAATTAATGAGTGTGGAGCTCTGGAGAGCGCTGAAAAAATTTTTGCAAAGAGTAAAAGTCATCTTAGTTAGGCGAAGAATTTTGCGATAATGCATCGAGATGGAGACAACTATACACGAAGGAAGACCGAAAGCTAGGGCTGGAATGAAAAATGCAAAATATTTGTACTCCTCTAATCTTCACTAGAAGGAGACCAAAAGGAGAGGTGCGGGTGAGGGAGAGGCTTGAACTAGGTATGGAAAACGGCACATACATGAACATTAAAAGTTCAAGGTGCTCTCTGGAGATTAGAGAATGGGGAGGAGGTACTATGGCAAGGATAGAAAAAGCCTGTAGAGAGCAGGCAAGCATTTATTTACATGCTTTCTCAAACTTCCTCACCAGAAGGATGCATGAGGCAGTTTTAGCCCAAATTAGCTAATAGCTTTTGAGTTTCTCAAAAAAGTTTGCATGGTGGAAGCTAACTTCTAGCTACTTTCCACATAAGGAATGCGAGCTTGGGAGATGCTATACTATCGGCTGGGAAAATTTACGCTACGATTTCAGAATTTTTTATTACATTTTGTCTTCTATTAGGTTGTCCGGAAATTAACGTCCGTATTCGTTTTCAACCGCCATAATTCGTACATTTTTCATTCCTAAATAGGCTTCAAGATACCATTCAATAGAGCAAAGCAAGCTCTACAAGATGGCGTTCATGCTGTTTGCTTTAGCAACAGCTCTGATCCACCTCGAGTTTAGAGCCAAAAACTAAAAAGATTCAACTGCCTGAAAAATCGAGAAAAATCATAACTCAGTTTAAAAGAATCGTACAAAAATTCTAACTTGCTCACGTAAACACTATCCATATAAGACATCTATATACGCCATTGCCATATTTTTTTCTCTGTTAGAAATCAAGAAAACGGAAATTTTCATGCTTTTGCCAAAGTAATGCTGTGTCGTCCCCACATAAGTAGATGTGTACTACAAATCTGTAGATACAGACGTAAATTCTCAGCTCTCCACAAGCTTTAGTTCTCGAGAAATTTGTATTTTAGTTTGGACCACCTGACTAATGAAAGCCATATTCGATATTTCTCGAGAACTAAAGCTTGTGGAGAGCTGAAAATTTACGTCTGTAACCTACAGATTTGTAGTACACATCTACTTGTGTGGGGACGACACAGCATCACTTTGGCAAAAGCATGGAAATTTTCGTTTTTTTGATTTTTAACAGGGGAAAAATGCGGCAACGGCGTACATATATGTCTTATCTGGATAGTGTTTACGTGAGCAAGTTAGAATCTTTGTAGGATTCTTATGAACTGAGTTATGATTTTTCTCAATTTTTCGGGCAGTTGAATCTTTTTAGTTTTTAGCTCGAAACTCGAGGTGAATCAGAGCTGTTGCTAAAGCAAACAGCATGAACGCCATCTTGTAGAGCTTGCTTTCCTCTATCGAAGGGTATCTTGAAGCCTATTCAGGAATGAAAAATGTACGAATTATGGCGGTTGAAAACGAAAACGGACATAAATTTCCTGACAACCTAATACATCAATCGAGGTAAAATCTTTTGCTCACTTTGGTATTATTTATCTCCTAGAGCTCGCGATGAATAGTAACTCAAGCGCTGCAAAAAGTCCTAAAACATTTTGAAGAGATGAATAAAAAGAGCGCCCACCTTCAATCTTCAACAGAAAAGCAGAGATCTTCACTAGAGTTGCTACTTTGGACAGGCGGCCTGATCTGAAATGAAATAGCGTAAACTATTGTTGTAAGATAAGCAGTGGGTTAAAGCTTGTCAAATATGCTACACAGGGTGTCCCAAAAAGATGTGCACATTGTTTGTTCGTCAATAACTCTTTTGCTTGGACGCCTTTCGCAGAGCTTGAAGTACCATTGCGTAGGGGGAGCTTTGCTTAGATTTACTTTGGAACGAATCACCACTCGCTCTTCATTACTAGGACCGTGGTAGGAACTCTAGCGACGATTTGAGAGACGAAAAGAGGTATTTTGGCTCAGAGAGGAAGGCAAAAAAGCCAGAAACTCTTGAACGTCTAATCGAGGTTGCTGATTATAATCATAAGTTTTGCACTTCAGTATAGTGCTTCTTTCATAGGTTAATTCGAATTTAGGTTAACAAATGTTTTTCCAATGTTTGTCAGAATTGCGAATACGCCACCAAAAAGCTCGAAAAACTGGTGAATTTTATGTAATGGAAAGAGCACGTTTGAACACCTGAGATTGTTCCATCGAAAGGCCAATTCCACAGTGATGCTGTATGCTGAGAGTTCATATCGTAATCTTACAGTAATAAGGAGTGATTATGATTCATTCTAGACTCTAAATGTAAGTTGAACCTCGCCCTACAGAATGGCACCTCAAGCTCGACAAAAGACATGAAAGCAAGAGAGTTATCAACGATCGAACAGCGTGCTATCGGTGAAAATAATGTGAAAGAGAAAGAATAGACATGCCCAGTTAAAGAGCATCATTCAGAAAAAATGAATCGTCTGTAAATAATACCAGCCTACGCTATAGAAAATCCTGAATGATGTCAATAAGCGATTATAAGCGATGTAAAAAGAAGCAAAAGCAAAAACCTCAAAAAAGAGCACTAATTAGCGGAAATCAATCAGTTCAGAAATGGCTATTATTTTGCAACCTTTAAAACCTCCACTATGATATACGCGCGTAGTGCGCTTCGGGTCAAAATCGCACCAAAATCGGAACGAAACCAAAATGATGACTCCCGTCGGTGCACCGGAATTTGGTACGAACAACCATTTGGTGGGCGGATCTCCTGCGGGAGTCAACGGCGAGTGTCTGAGTATCCTCTTAACACGCTTCGGACCGCGAAACAGTGTGCGGCAAAAAAGAGTGTACTTCCAGGCTTTAGCCAACAAAAAGTCTTATTTCGTAGACTGTGTGCTATACCTATGATCAGCATGTCATTTAAGCTCCCCACTCAAAGTTTTGAATGAATTCGAATTGTATGAAGTTTGTTACTTGGGAAGGACTTCTATGTTTTCTTGAAAGATAGGAACAGGATCTCAATCTCTAATAATATCCAAAAGTATCTATGTTGCACACGGTACACATCATTAATACAATTGCAGTCTTCTCTTTGAAATCAAAGCAAGTTGCCGCACTTCCTAACAACCGTTGTTCGATTTGTCCTCATATCTTCTAGACGAATATGGGCCGCACAGCTCCACAGATTCATCTGGAAAGTAGAAGCTTATGTCTTTAATTTGATAATCTTGGACTAAAAGAAAACCTCCTACGGACGTCAAAAAGATCCTCAAAAGCAGCGTGTTGCACCATGTGCAGCACTGGTCCGAAACGTGTTAAAGAACGGAATCCTATAGTGCACTTTTCTATCCTGAGCAAGTCTAATCTGTTCATCAATAATAGTATGTCATTATTATTATGACAGTGTTTACTTTGAAACTGTTTGTTGATCAAAATGAAGTCAAAATTAACTAAACAAACAGACTGAACTTACATCGCTAGGTAAGGTAAGGCAAACTCTTGGTAAAACCTGTTAAACATGTAGATGACATGTCAATTTTTTTGACACGTGGCAGAAGGTTGACACTCCTTTCTGTGAAGTTGGGGCAATGTATGGTACAAAATAGAAGCATATCTTTTTTTGAAAAATGAGTCCGGATAACGGAAAAGTACCGTATCAAGAAACAATCTGAATGTCTCAATTACAGTATGGACACAATTACGTCGGTTTCTATCAGAAACAAAACAACGGTCCTCTAGAAGACTATCCTTGTGTCAATGATCCAGGAAAAGTGGTAGGCGTAACCAACCAAAAAGCCTTGCTCAGCCAACATTATTTTGTTTTCTGCTTAGATGAAGTGCTCCACGTCTTGCATGCAAACGCAAATCATCCAAAAAACCGGCCAAAGTGAGCTAAGCCTTGAACACTATAGGTGGTACAGACATCCTTCAGCTTTCACATATCGTGATTGCGGGACATACCTTCTTCAAGAATTTGGGAACGAGAAATTCAACCTGTCTTACACGCAATACGCCATGATCCTGACAGACGTCGATGATGAAGGTGAGCTCGTGGTTTTTTAAATTATAAAAACTGAATATGTGTCCTATGCATAGGTAACAGATGGATTTTCAAGTTTTGTAACAAGGAAAAATGTTTGCGTGAGTCACTAGAACTTCAGATTGCTAATGTTGATGCAGTCTTGATTTCAGATCCATCCGACTACAACGTTTCTGATGAAGAAGTCAAGAAAGGTGAAGAGGCAGTTGAAATCAGCGCAACTGAGGTAGCATGCCCTAAGCAGGGTAGGTGGCATTGAATATAGCTCGACTGCTGGTGACCCGTCAACTAGTATTCATATTTTGGTTGTGTACATCAGAACATAGAAGCGTTTCAATTCAGCCCCTGACATTCATTCTGCAAAGCCAATTACTCCCACCCTCCTGAAAGTTCGCAGTCCGCAAAGCTAGAATCCCGACCTTAGATTTTTGGCTAAGAGAGATCTCAAGTAACATACAAAACAGCGGCAAGTGGTGAAGAAGTTCCATTCCGGGCCTTGATGCTAGTTCTTGGCAATTGTAAGTGACCTACCTATACACAGCTTGCAGTCACATAATCCTTTCCCATCGGCGCAATCATCGGCCAGAGCTTCGCACCACGTTTACGCGCATATGGCTTGGGCGCGTAGATTGGCCTCATCGATTGGAGGTTCGCGCGCAAGATTTTTGCGTTGCGGATGCGTAATTCCTATAGTCGTCCTCACCCCACTAGTCGGTCGGTGGTCGAATTTGAATTCGAACTGGAGCAAGCCGACCGCGGCAGAGCGCGGCAGACCCCGCCCCTCAGCCAACCGCTTGCACGAGCTTTTTTCTTATTTTCTTCGTGTTTCTTTGCTATCTCTCGTATTGCTGCAATGTCTTAACAGATTTTCAGATTTCGTACCGCTGACTCTTTAGAACAAACACTTTTTGAGAGGATTTCACTCCTATCGCAAAAAAATAGTTTAAAGTACACATTCTGAAAAAAAACTTGACAAAGTTCATCAAATCACATTTGTGTATATGTCAGTTACCGGAAAAGAGATTTTTCATTCAAAAACCTCCAATCGCATCCTTCTTCCCGGTTTACCTGGAAAAAATGTAAAACAAGCGAGCACAACTGCACAAAACAGTAGTTAGCGGCATGAAACCTAAAATTCTGATTAAGGAACATTGCCGCAATATGAGAGATAGCAAAGAAACACGAAGAAAATAAGAAAAAAGCTCTTGCAAGCGGTTGACTGGGAGGCGGCGTCTGCCGCGCTCTGCCGCGGCCGGCCTGCTCCAGTTCGAATTCAAATTCGACCACCGACCGACTAGTGGGGTGAGGACGACTATACGAGGGAGTATGTAAGAACAGAATGTAGTTGGAAGCTAAACACTGCGAACTTATAGTGATTATTAGCACCAAAGACTGCGGACGTATCGGCGTCTCTCCGATCGGGCGCGCTTTCAATTTTCTTACCAACTGTGTTTCTTCGACATACGGTAACCACACGACGCTGAAACGGCTGGATTCGTCATGGAGCGCGGATCGTGTTTGAGGCGGATTTCTTCATCTCGCTTCCATTTGCTCTCTTCGGAAAATGATCTGGACCAAAGTTTACTCACATACATCTCGAAAAGGGAGGGGGAGGGATTAGCCTATTCGTTATCGATCGGTAGTAACTATGCAAAGTCTGAGCTACCCGGCGGTACAGAGCGGTAAGCGAGCATGCTGATTACGAAGGCTGGGATTAACAATTACGTATCGATTTTACTGATTTTCCAGTCTTCGAAGTAGGGGGTGGGAGTTGATGCAGATGGGTTAGGCCCCCGCCAGAGTGCCGAAGCCACGCCAGCGCCGAGCTGTCCCGTTTGTTCGGGGCGGGACTAGGTGATCCTGTGTCTGCAAGAGCTACCGGAGCTTCTGGCAGATTCGATCAATAGTCGGTGCATTTACCTGGCTGAGAACTAGGTCAGCTAGCCCCGCCCCAACGAAATGCATATGTATCGATCGAAACAGCGCCGGGGCAGCTCGGCGCTAGCTCGGCGCCGGCGCAGCGCTGGCGTGACTTCGGCACTCTGGCGGGAGCCTTAGTAAATGTGCTGGATACGAAAGCATAATGGGGAAGGGAATTTAACGTACAAAAGTGGGACAAGGACAAGGAATCTTGTATAGAAGTATGGAATGCTGAACCGTTTTATTATGGAAAGGGCGGAGCCGGGTATGCCTCCTGGAGTTGCCAAAAGTTCTGCCTTTTTAGGGAGGGTTCGACCCCATGAAAAACTTTACTTGACCATCAGACCGATCTTAACGAAGAGATTTCGATGTATAGTCGAAGTACAACGAAAACTTCGACACAAGAGAGAATAAAGTCTTTAGTGCCAACAGTTACTGCGAAAGGAACTGTGAATTTATGACAACATGTGCAAGAACAAGAGCGCGATTAGTAGAACTGGAATTTCAGTACTTTGGCAGCATACTGTCTACAACTATCTTGCAAACTTATTTTCGACCAAATATTCAGAGGAGGCTGTCCCTTGCTAATCAGAACGACCACATCTTCTGTATCACTTCTGCATAATCACTCTTTTCTTCCTCTTCTTCATCTTCGCCTGGTTGTTGCAAAATTTGGAAGAGATATTTGATAATATTATCAGGTCCATGTACTAATATGTGCACTTGGTTCTTCGTCGCTACAACAATCGATTCCCGTATTTGTGTTCAGATTATACACCTAGCTTTAGGATGATTGAGAGGACCTGCCACAGCGGAAATTATCACCAAAGTAATACAGAGTGTCCCAAAAAATGTACTCACTGTTTGATTGTTAATACTCTCTTGTAATGAAGTCTTTCAAGAAGCTTTAGGTATCATTTTATAGAACTAGCTTCAATCATTTTATAGAACTAGCTTCAACTTAAATTTGTAATATAAAGCAAATCACCCATCTTTCTCCATTACTGTAGGATTACGGTAGAAACTTCAGAGAGGGTTTTGAGCCATAAAAGGCCATGTTTTGCCTCAGAAAGGAAAGAAAACAGCCTAAAACTTTTCCACTAGGCCAATTAGAGTTGCTGACTCTAATTGTAAGGTGCCCAACTTATCATAATGCTTCATTGAAGAGTGATGCGATATAAGCAGTAACGGCCATTTCTTTAATGTTTTTAAAAAAAATGCCGTTACGCCGTTTAGAAAGCTTCGTAATCCTGTGTTTAGTTGAATATTGAACTCAGCGTCCATAAAAACCCTATTACACAGGTTTTCGCATTTTTTTGGAACCTTATAAAACGGCAGCTTTTTTCACAGTGACACCATATGTCTCAAGTTTTTACCGTAATCCTACAGTAGTGAAGAGCATTCGGTGATTCCCTCTATACTGTCAATCTAAGTTGAAGCCATCTCTACAAATTGGTACCTAAAGCTTCTCGAAAGATTCATTACAAGAGAGTTATTAACAATTAAACAGTGAGTACATTTTTTGGGGACACCCTCCATATGTGCATTTAACCTGAGCGGATTTTTAAACATGCGAAAAAGAAGCACTTGGGGCAAAGAGGAAAACAAAATCTCTCCGGATCATTATTGTCATCAAACGCGATCCCTAATGATGCAAGTGATTCAAAAAACCGCGAATCCAGCCGTTTCAGCGCGACGTATTCGAGGCGCACAGCTATTGACTTTGGCTCACGTCGCCCTTGGTCAGGCTTTTGTCCGCGGAGCGCGGCAACCTCCTTGGACTTTGATTTCTTTCTTGCATCTCCAACTTTGTGTATCTTCTTCTTTCTCACATTGTCATAAAAAGTCATCCTGCATAGTATTTCTCGACTTTTGTCTTCTGTTTGTACTCGGGGTGTCAAAATGGCTAGAGATCTAGAAAATACTAGCTACAGTCGAGTAGATTTTCCCCTTAATATATTTTCACGCGCAAATTCTACCGCATTTCATCCACAGTGCAAGCACGCTATATTAAGCAGAAAATCTACTCGACTGTACCAAAAGGTTGACGTGGATGCTCTCAATCTATGACAAAATTGTTGTCATTAGTTTTGCATAAATTGCGCTGCATAACTAGTTAACTAACTGCATAACTAATAAGTATGTCTCTTCGTTTCCGCCATTTTCATGGGTCGGGCTTCTTTGTCGCCTCATTTGTTCCACAAATGGCCTGCCAATCCTTAAGAATTGAAAATGATATGGGGAATGAAGCATAGTTTCCGGCTAGAATATCGTGTATATTCTTTCTACAAAGCAAGAACATGGCGGTTACGCTGTGCACTGTTCTTGCCTTTCCAGTCTTTCAGTGCTGAGCGATTCAAGCTCCACGCATTGTGCATGCTATCTATCGCATACTAACTGCAATGATGGCCATGAACTGCGGTATCTAGAAGCGCGTCATTATTGGCTAGATGAACAAGGGAATTTATTTAGGTTGTTGAAACTGGCTAAATTGATACTAATCTCCGGTTGCGTGTTTGCTCCACCGACAAGGGAAGTCACTTAACTCAGGTCGGCCCTTTGAAAGGAGACACACATATTTAGGATCAGCTCGGAACGCTGATTCCATGTCCTTAGCTGCAGAGCATTCCTCTGGAGCGAGATATGAGCTTTTTAGTATGTGTCATTGACATAGAATTAAATGTGGAGAGAAGGCCTGTAAACGAAAATCTGCCCAAAAAAGTGGTGAAAAATTGAAATAACATCAAGATGGAGTCATTTGGCATTGTATAGTGTGCAATACCACTACCTAGATGTTGATACCGTAGCGTCCGTAAGTCTGTCAACAGGCAAACTTTGCTAAGGAAAATGCTCATAACTCGCTTCAGAGTACTGCTTCGCAGCTAAGAATAGCAGATTCGAAATCAGCGTTTTAAGCTGATTCCAGTTATAGGTTACTTCTCAAAAGGCCAACCTAAGTTAGGTGATTTCCTTGTGAGTTCGAGTTGTACACATGTTGTTTCCAACAAATTTATCTTGGACACTAATTCTTAATCAAATAAAAAGTACCGTTGCGAGTTACGAGAACGCAGAGAAGGGTGAGAGTGAGACTTTGGTAGAAGTATCATCTACGTGTCACATCCAAAACTTGCTTACGACTACTTTCTTTTTCCTACGTACTTCAATGCTTAGTGCTGACAGTTCAATGTTTAAGCCACCTACATCGAGGCTTGCGTAAGCCTCTTACATCGTCTTCGACACTATTCATGGTGCAAATATTAGGTCCATATCACGGTCAGGTAGGTTTAGTTTGAAGAAAAGAAGACATTTAATTATTGAGTTTATTATGAATAACAATAAACAAAGCCTATCACTGGAAGAAAGGAGAAGCTGAGCAAAGGTTGAAATGCACAACAGAAATGTAGAATTCAAGTCCGAGGAGGTTACCGCGCTCCGCGGACAAAAGCCTGACCACTCAGACAATCGCTGGGGGCAGGCGGGCACCGGAAAAATAGATTGCTGATTTCTTGCACCCCGCTCGCGGATTTTTTGCAAAGCAATCAGAACTTTTCGGAAGACCGCTTGCTGAGTCAGCGGATTTTTGAGAGACCGCCTGTTGAATTTTTTTTCGCTCTTATCTTTTGCAGATATATTGCTGAATCTCTGAGAAATCGAGAATTCAGCAAGCGGTCTTCCGAAAAGTCCTGATTGCTTTGCAAAAAATCCGCGAGCGGGGTGCAAGAGATCAGCAATCTATTTTTCCGGTGCCCGCCTGCCCCCTGCGATTGTCTGAGCAAGGGCGACGTGAGCCAAAGTCAATAGCTGTGCGCCTCGAATAATATCTCCTCCATGACGAAGGCGGTCACCCAGATAGGTTGAGAGCATGCAAGGCTGCCGCGCACGTAGCGCGCGGGCAACTGTCAACCACGGGTCGCGCGCACGCTCGCGTGGGTGGCCGCTGACTGAGCGTGTGCGCGCCCTGTGGTTGACAATTGCCCGCGCGCCGCGGCCTTGCATGTTTTCAACCTATTTGGGCGACCGCCTTCGTCTTGGAGCAGATATTACGTCTTTCAGCGCCGTGTGGTTACCGTACATCTGTTTCTCCCATGCGCGAACATCTTGGCAGGACGCAACGGCGCCCAGTCTCTGCGTGTCATGAATCCGGTATACCATGTTAGTTAGAAAGAATAAACGTACGAAATCTCAAGATAACTTCTTTGAAAATCCGGCACTAGAACTCGTAAATAATGTGCCAACTTCAATCCACGTATGCAATGTGTAGTTAAAGCGGTACATCGCAAATTTCTCTTGACACAAGACTAAATCCAATCTGGACATTTGCATCACAAAATACGGTACACTTTGTGAGTATTCGGATAAATTTCTTACTTGCAGAGTCTTCGAACTATACTGTGCTCATATTTGCTGGTGCACTTGTGGTATTTGGTATTATGCTACTTATGAGTAAGTTTAAGCATTTCACGGGATGCACATTGCACTTCTTGAAATCATCCTTCTAAAGTAAACATTGAAGAATTAAAACGGAAAAAAATGATCGCATACATTCAAATATGGATTCGAGAAGAGAGGTGGATTCTCGGAATCCACTTCTCTTGTCGTTTTGGAAAGCCCCAAGCAAATTGCCTGATTCTTTCTGCTTCCCAATTTTGTTATCCTCATAATAATTTACGACTGGAACTTATTGTTGAAAGCAAGAAATGAATCTGAGTTACACGAACGGCCTGTACGTAATATACGCATCGTTACAATTACAAGCTCTTCAGCACACTGCACCCCCTATTTTGAAGCAGGGTCTAGGCAAAGGCTAATCCCTCCGATTAGTAACTATCCTCCTGATTGTAGCCCTAGGAAAGCGGTATCTACTTTGGTCCTCCAATGCTCTCTAAGTGAAGATATTGGACCTGGAACCGCGAGTGTTATTAAGCTACGCCCGAATCCTATCAAGTTCCGCCCACTCACTTAGTGAAAGCCGTCTGGGCTTTCAGATGGGGCTCCCAAAGATCAAGTTTTTCGTTTTCGTGATAGTTTTCCACATTCTGAACTTCCTGTAATCAGTACCACGGAAAGGTCCCAGAATGACAAAAATATGGAAGGCGAAGTTTTCGGTGGACACTGCCTTTTAAACAGTCGTTCCGGCACATAGCCAAGATCTGAAGTTGAAAGTCTTGCTTTTTGCTGCAAAAAGTCCAAATAAGTCTGAGAAGCTCAGAACAAATGCGAAGAGGTGAGAAAAACAAGATGGATCCCTTACAAGTTGAAACTCGGGAAATTCCAACAGTTTCGAGTAGTAAATGTCCAAAAACGGTGAAATTGAAAAAGGCTCAATCAGGTGCTAAACGAATAAGAAAAAAATCTCGTTATCAAAAACTAGCTGGTTTTGAATTCTGAGAATAAAATCCAACAAATTCTGATTTCATAGACATGAATTATACGTAGACAATCAAGTGTGCTGGCCATGAGCGAAATATCCAAATGGTGTTCACCAAAAGCCTCACCAGAAGATCGACCAGACAAATGAGTTCAAAGATTGTATCAAATTGACTCTCGCTCAAAAGAAAGTTAAACAGCAGGTTGTCAAAACCGTCAAGGCGACCGAAAATCGAAGGGACAGTATCCGGGAAAACAATGTAAGCTTTGGAAACATTCCAGAGTTTCGCACAAATTGCGATTTGCTAAAGTTGACCGAGTAAAATTATTTGATCATCTCGAAAATCGTCTTACCACCCGAAAATGCCTGAAAAAGAAATCTGGGCCGCATGTAACACACGAGTACATTCACTCAAATGACAGCAGAATACGGCAGGAAAACCTAATGGCTGTGCATTTCCAGCCCGTTTTTGTTTCTTTTCTAGGTTCAAAAAGTCTAGCAAGTACGATTTTTGTATATTATATTATTAGGTTGTCCGGAAATTAATGCAGGTTCTGAATTCCAACCGCAGTAACTCATATACTTCTCATTTCTAAGTAGGTTGCAAGATACCATTCGATAGAGCAAAGTAAGCTCTACAAAACGCAATCTTGCTTTAGCAACAGCTCTGAACCACCACGAGTTTCGAGCCAAAAACTAAAAAGATTCAACTGTCTGAAAAATTAAGGAAAATCGTAACTCGTTCATAGAAGTCCTACAAAAATTCTAACTTGCTCACTAAACACAATCAACATAGAGCATCTATTTATATACGCCATTGTCATATTTTTTTCTCTGTTAAAAATCAAGAAAACCGAAATTTTCAAACATTTGCCAAAGTGGTGCTGTGCCGTTCCCACATAGGTAGTTGTATACCACAAACCTGTAGAAGTATAAACGATAATTTCCAGCTCTCTACAAGCTTTAGTCCTCGAGATATATCGGATACAGTTTTCCCTAGTCATGTGGTCCAAGCTAAAATTCAAATTTCTCGAGAACTAAAGCTTGTAGAGAGCTGGAAATTTATGTTCATACTTCTACAGGTTTGCAGTATACAGCTACTTATGTGGGGACGGCACAGGACCACTTTGGCAAATTTACGAAAATTTCCGTTTTCTTGATTTCTAACAGAGAAAAAAATATGGCAATGGCGTATATAGATGCTCTATGTTGATTGTGTTTACGTGAGCAACTTGGAATTTTTGTAGGACTTTTATGAACTGGGTTACGATTCTTCTTAATTTTTCAGACAGTTGAATCTTTTTAGTTTTTGGCTCGAAACTCGTGGTGGATCAGAGATGTTGCTAAAGAAAGACTGCCGTTTTGTAAAGCTTGCTTTGCTCTATCGAATGGTACCTTGCAACCTATTTAGAATTGAGAAGTGTATGACTTATTGCGGTTGGATTTCAAGACCTGCATTAATTTCCGGACAACCTAATACTACGTGTTCATATGCATGATCGAGTTCGCAGAAGTCTGCTTTTGAGGTAATGAAATTCAGATTTGAAATTTACGTGGCTCACATTTACTCTCTAATGACTGTCTTATGGAGGTTGCTTTGATGCAAACAATAATACCCGTTACATTTTCGGTGGTTAGCCTGCAGTGGTAGTACAAAAAGAAACATTCTTTCATATCCAACCTAATAGCAATTTATTCCAGGAAGGGAGTTTACCGTCTTGACACTGATCCAGTCCCTGCTGTTTGACCTAGATATTTCCTACTCCCACATTTGGTTTATTTATTTATTGTTTTATTGTTACATAGGACCCCTATGTGCAAAAAAAATAAAGAAAAAAAAGCGAAAACAAAAACGTAACACAATAAACAACAGAACAACGAACATCAACGATATGGACAAGAAAAAACTAGCTTGAGGTATAGCAGATCAAACGCAGCTTCTTGATTGTAAGTAGCCCTCAATGTTTTTCTTGAAGGTAGATATCTTAGCCGTCAACATAAGGTTTCTTCGAGGCAACTAAAAAAATTTGCTCTGTATTACTAGTTTCGTACGTCCACCCCGCTTATTAGGCATTCTGACAGGAATGTAATCATTAACATCCATTCTATACTCTCTGTACCATATTACGCGCCATGCATATCAAACGTACGCTTTCTGTAGGCCAATGTGTTGGAAATTTGAGGTTCTGATTACGTGTTCTTCCATCCGGGATCTGGTCATACACCAAAATAGTAGTTTCAATAAGTCGTTTACCTTTTCAAAGTAATCAACTGTTTCATGCAAGTGAGGGCTGTAGATGATGGACCATATTTAAGCATAGGCCTTATGAAAGACTTATAAGCCTTCAAAAACACCTCAACCCTGTTGCAGGAGGGCGACCGAACAAGTTGTAAACAGCTCTCATAGCCTTATCAGCAGTGAGCTTACAATGCCCATCGATTATTTCTGACTAGGAAACCCAGGTGACGTATCGACTCAACTAATTCAAGTTCCGGAACTTTTCCGTTATCCGGACCCATTTTTTCAAAGAAAGATATTGCTTCTATCCTTGTACCATATTTTGTCCCAGCTTCACAGGAAGGAGTGTCAACCTTCTGCAACGTGTCAAAAAAATTGACATGTCATCTACATGTTTAACAGGTTTTACCAAGAGTTTGTGTTGTACTACCTAGCGATGTAGTTTCAATCTGTTTTTTAGTTAACTTTGACCTCATTTCGACCAAACAGTTTCAAAATGAACATTGTCACAATAATGACGATATACTATTATCGATGAACAGTTTAGCTTGCTCACAAGGGAACGATACTCAATGTCCGTGGCCTTTTGAAACGAGATGTATACCATTACACTCGCCTTCAAACGCTGATTCCGAATCTGACTTCCGTTTTTGCTAATCGTTTCTCTGAAGGGAGTTATGGAGGAATTTCGAGCCAACTTTATCCGCCCAACGGTATGGTCACCAGAACAGCCTCTACCGGCGCCATGTTATTGTCTAGTGATTAGTGTGATAGCCTCATAACTTGATACAAGTGTAGGTTCAAATCCTTTTGTGTTTTTATTTTGCACTACCTCAATCAAAGTTGTTCGAGATTCACTCGAATCATGGTCATTGGATACATTTTAACGCAAATAGTAAAATTTGAATTCCACATTTTCTGAACAGCAAGGGCGTTCAGTTAGCTCGAAGATGCGAAAGAAGGTCTATTGAGGCAACGCAAAACTGAAAAACACAAAAGGATTCGAACATACACCTGTATCAACTCATGAGCCTATCGCGCTAACCACTAGGCCAAACGCGAACCGTCAATGCTGCCGCTTTGAACATATTTCAGTGGACAGCCAAAGCCCACACAATCCTTTACAATATCTTTGAAGCGATTAGCAGAAACGGAAGCCAGATTCGGAATCAGCGTTCCAAGACGAGTGTAATGGTGTACAACTCATCTCAAAAAGCCACGGACACTGAGTATCGTTTCCTTGTCAGAATAGAGAATTTCGCTAGGATTCCGTCATTTAAGAGGCGAAAAAGCAGCAGCAAAGTGCTTTAAGCTATCATTTATAGCATTTTCTGGCTGAATTCGCATGGTGAAAATAGTTTGAAGAGAAAGGCATTTTTGATCATTGCTGAAAGCTAGCAAGATGTTCTAGAATAAGTTCATGATCGTTTTGCTCCTATGCAAAACAGTCGAACAGCTTCAAAATGATCACAAGTTCTCTTTTATCTCACCGGAAATGATTTCGAAAAAAAACATGTCAAAATCAACCAAAACAAGTCAATTTTTTCGTAACACGTGGCAAGAAGGCAGCCACCGTAGAATTCATGAAAAATTATTCTTAGACTAAAGAATGCATAATATGAGAGGCAGGCTTTTGTAAAAATGGATCCGGATAACGGAAAAGTACCCAAGTTCTTTCACTTTCTTGGAATAATGAGAGTTTACCTTATTTGGCCTATATGAAGCAGGGAGATGTGTAGGGAGATGGGCAAAACACTTCAGTGGCCGGTTATAAACGCCATACAAAGCATCCTGCAGCGGTATATCCACTATCATCCATAACGACCGTACAGCTTGAAGTCGTTGGCATAAGCATTGCAACACATCCCATAAAAAGTTGGCATAAGCGGAAGATCATATATGTAACGGTGCAATGTGGGTGAGAGGACACCTCATTGCGGTACTCCACTATTCATCTTCCTAGGTTGGAGAATGAGTTATTTATTCGTACTAAAAAGATTTTTTCAGCCAGAAAGGTTCTTATCCAAACAACAATCCGCGCATTTATACCTACAGCTTCAGGTTCTTGTGAGAGTTTAGCATGTTGGACTCTATCAAAAGCCTTAGAGAAATGCGAGTAAATAACATCCGTATTCAATACGCTTTCTAAATGCAACCATTGAGAGAATGGAGCATAGCATTGGTGGTAGACCTGCCTTTCTGGAAACCATGCTGCGCGGCTAAACAACATTATTATCCTCCAAAATGCTTCACTATGCTTTTCTTAGAAATTTTCTCAAACAAACGTGCAAGTATTGAAGATAATTTTGGACAGATATGGGGCTTTCTTTTAGGAATTATTGAAACAGAAGACGTTCTGCACCTCTCTTGAACTTCCGCTCTCACCACGCTCAAATTAAAAATGTATTCTAAAGGACCAGAAATAATATCTGTTACTGACACAAAGGCAGCGCTCAGGCAAATCTGGACCTATGAAGATTTTACGTGGAAAGTAATTTGGGAGCCCTAAGGCACTGCCGAAGGGGCAGCGCAGGTGACTTTAACGGCTATACGGCCTCCAGACTGGACCTCAAGATCGTATTATCGGACGACTTGCATCGTGTTTTGCATGCTTTCGCGCGAAGACCCACTCGAAACTGATGGGTTGCACCATGAATCCATGCGAAATACGATCCTGGTCAGCTTTGAGGGGAATATCTCAGCCGTTAGAGCACTACCTAAACTGCCGGTGGGGCAGCGGATTAGATAAGACTCTAAAATTACTATCCACCTGAGATCCCCATATGTCCAGATTCGCCCGAACGCTGCCTTTAGTAAATTGGAGTGGAAGGAAATCGGGAGTCGAAGAGGTGGACTTAGGCCACTTCTTAAGAATTTTGTAGATTTCCTCTCTAAAACCACCTTCTCCACTCTTGGTCCTAAAATTAGTCGTAATAACATTATTCCTTCATTTTTCCTTCTTTTATTTTGAAACTAGCTGGCTTACCCGGCTCCTCTCGGCCCTGTCAAGACACTATGATAAAGGTCCCATCCCTATCCCTGTACAACCTTTCCCTGTGTCACTTTTACACGCCAATAATTCCCGCTGTGTTAGTAATCAGCATGCTCACTTACCTCTCTGTGCCAATTTCCAGCCCTGTAGCTCAAACTTTGCAAAAAATCGATAAAATGGATAAGAGTAACGGCTATTTTTGAAAACTAATATTGAAACGTAAGCATGCTCACATAACCCCAACTCCCAGCCTCGTAGCTCAGGTTACGGTAGGAACACCGACAAGGATTTTAGGCCGTTGGAGGCCATAACCTGCCTCGGAACGACCAAACAATCCAAAAACATTTATACTATGCCAATGGAAGCCGCTAATTTTTAATAAGAAACTTCCACTTCACTGTAACGCCTCTTTCCAAAGTTATCCCAGGTAAACCGTATTAACCGAATTCCCAGTATTTCACAAAAATGTGATTACACCGTCAAAAAAGCTGAGAACACTCGTAAAAAGTTGTGTAGTGGAATCAACGTGCGCGAAAATCCTAGTACAAGATTTTTCAAATTTTTTGAAAAAAATTGGCGCTATTCCATTATACACAACCCAAAAATGAAAAATCTTAGATTTCGCTAAAACTTTGTATACAGGGGTTATCTTATGTGCTGATCACGTACGTATCGCGCTCGCTTGGCTTGATAAAGCAATTTCGTCAATTTTTGGGATGTAAATTGGCCTGGAAGTCGGAAATTGCGCCTATTCATAGACTGCGTATTACAGTAATTCCACAATAAGACATTGTTGCAGTGAGCAAGCATGGTATTTGTAGTCTGCATGCTTGAAACCCCCTCTAGGGCAAGTTTTGAGCAAAATTGGGACTTTGACCCAACCTATCGTGACCCAAGAAAATGGCGCTATCTTGCGAATTTGATATGATATACATGTTCAGCGTGCTGAATAGCCCTTCTAGCCCAGTTTCCAGCCAAATCTACGATTTTGACCTCCTACCGTACACCTACCGTAACTACAGGGAAATGTTTTCGTGCGAAAAGTGTGATAATCATGATCAGCATGTCGAATAGCACCTCTGTGCAGAGTTGCAGCAAGATCTGAGCTTTTGACTCCATACCGTATGCCTACCGTAACCCCTGAAAAAGGCCCTACCATGCAAAATGAAAATCATTTTCGTGATCAGAACATCAAGTAAACTCTGTATAGAAGGTTGTAGTGAAGTCTAAACATGCTTGAGTTGGTCTTATTCAGGTGTTCTATCATTGAAAATGAGATATTTCAGAATGCAAGAGTCGGAAACTCCGAGAAATACTGCTAATACTAAAAATTCATCTATGAGAAGATATTAGGTTTGATATTATGGAGTAAATCAATTCACATATTCAGAGACGCTTCTTGAAAGCCTCTGTATCGGCGCACTCTGCCTGAACACCTTTCGTTACTGAAGTGATAGTTTCAAACTCGTTCAAATTGCTCTTTTAATTCACGAGGCGCATCCTGATGGTCTCTGCTGAGGTGCGAGAGACGCTTTGGATGAGAACGCGGCTTATAATCTACCATCCTTATTGAGAACTCATAACCTCGTAACCTTGCATGTTATCGAAAACAAGTAGAGTAGATTTTCCGCTCATCATAGTGTGCTTGCACTGCAGATGAAATGAGGTTGAAGGGCCCCTCCGCGGGCTACTGCTCCTGAAACGACGTGCAACAACATTGCAAAAGGACCAGATGACCGCGAAAGGCGGCGAAAGGCGGCGTGGCGGCGTTTGTTCCCCCGCCCTTTGTTCACGCGCAGAATTTACCGCAATTTATCTGCTATGCAAGCACACTCTATCAAGAAGAAATTCTACTCGACTGCACATTTCCATTCGGCTATCGTGGTAAATGACCATACGTGATGAGAGCGCGAAACGGTGTGGCATCGAGGAAGTCTCGTTAATTTTTTACGGTCTATTCCTCAGCCCTTAACCGCGTTACATATAAAGCTTTCAACTTCTCTCAATCATTTGTATTCTTCAGTATACATGCTAGACGATCATTCCTCAATCCCACACATCATTAATTTGTTTCAGAGATTTACCACAGATGGAAAGCAATTTGTGACAATAGCACTTCCAGTCCAATTTCTGCTCGACTGAATGTGACCAGTGATGAGGTAAATATTCTATTTATTATTTATTTATTTACTTACGACACACGAAAGTGTGCCAATGTGCCAAAAGATTACAAAACACAAAACAAAACACTCGGGCTTGAATCACATTGTCCCTTGCTGGATGATCAGGTCACTTTCCAGTTTCAAGGAGTGAGTGGGCCTCCACCGAGATTCCTTTCCCTTACCCGACTGAATGGGGATGTAACAAATTACCAGGACCTGGCTGACCAACTTAACCCAAGGCGGACGAATCCGTCAGGGACCCTGGGCGAGCGCGAGAAGGGGGATGTCAAGGCAGAGGGCTCACTAGCCTTCGATCTCCTCAAACGGCTACCCAAGCAGAACTTTCTAGCCTTTACAAATATTGATATACCGTAAAAAGGCTTGTTGACATGTGAAAAATCAATCAAAAACGTCAAATTCGTCCAAAAACTAGGTAACTAGGTCCCGCGGGCTCCAAGAACGTGCTCACGCTCTGTATTTCCGCTGGACGCCGCGATGTCCCGCGCCAAGGCGACGGTGCATGAGCGTTCGTCGCCGCCGGAGGATACCCGAATAGCTGTTCTGCGCATGTTAGCCACAGTGGATCTTTTCATGCTGCGCGGATGTGCAGACAGAGAGTGAATTAGAATATTTTTACTACTGGGCTTGCGATACCATTTGGTTCTATATTCCCCGCCCTTAATATGAATCTGCACATTCAGAAACGCCAGCCACTCCTCAGTAGGCTTCCCCTGGTAAATGCGATGTTTGGCGACTGTTGGAGGATGTTAAAGCAGATGTCTACTTCGGTTTGCGTGGGGCATATGACGCAACAGACGTCGATATACCTGCCATAAAGTAAAGGTTTACGCTCAAGCACTTGCGCTTCTACCTTGGACATGAAGATAATGGCTAAAGTAGGTGCGAGTCGCTCTCCCATAGCTAAGCCCCTTACCTGTTTGTAATAATGCCCCGACCATCGGAGTACTGTACATTGCAAGCATTCGTAAAGAAGAGTCATAATAATGTGAATGCTTAAGCCATGCTGGAGCGAGGACTGATGCTCAGAAAGCAGTAAGAATCTTGTCGTATGGGCCCGAGATCCTCGCCCGCAAAACGTTGGAGGCGTTTTGGATTGATGCCAAAAATCCAAAATTGAATAGAAAGGAGGAATGTATCGCCATCACGCAGGAACTCGCGCCTTATCAGTCCCTATGCGGGTTTGAATATGAGGTCAGGTCATCACGGCACATATAAAAGAGCTGAGGCATAGTCTTGTACATAGGTAGTCTTCTGACTTCCGCTCTGTGTTATCTGAGGTTAGTATTGCTCTTGTAATTCTGACGTTGCTTTGCATTAGCTTTCTTTCGAAGAGAACTTTGGCCTTTTTTTGTCGTCTGAAGGAATGAGTTGCTTATGACTACGACTTCCAGGCTCTGACGAAGGCGAAAGCGCCACAACGTTAGCCGTTTATAAAGAAACTGTAACAGTCTTGGAGTACCGCTCACAAGCATCATCCACAACTATCAACAATGCCAAGATTCAAAAACGATCGAACATGGGCAACTTTATGCGCGATAAAGTGGCCTGCTAGTGTTCCGGCATGTGCTTCCTTAAACACATAGTAGTGCGCCGTTTTCAGGACTATATACACTAGTGAGCCATTCTCCTTGCACACTTTGAGGTGCCCATTGTTCAGCACAAAAACTGCTTGCTTTACATTTTCCCTTGTCCCTGGCAATCTTATTGTTTCATCCAAGTTCTCGTTTTCCACCTTTCCTGTTAACTCGGCCCATTCTGTCTCGCTTTCGAGTTCTTTGAGCCATGACTTTTGTCTGGTTTGTGTGGTGCATTCTACAGGGTTCTGTTCTACCAGGCTCCCCTTGGCGCTATTTCCGTCCCTTGCCGGTCCCCTGCTTAATGCGTCTGCCACTATGTTCGCCTTTCCCTTCACATATTTAATCTGCAGCTTGTAACGCTGCAATTCAAGCGACCAGTGCAATATCCGTGATGATACGTTTTTACTTTTAAACAAAGTCGTTAGCACTTGATGATCGTTCCTTACAATTGTTGGAAATCCGTAAATGAACATATGGAATCTTCGAACTGCAAATACTACGCCGAGTGCTTCGAGGTCGGTTATGTGGTACCTTTTTTCTGCTTTTGTAAGCGTTTTTGATGCGAAGAATATTGGATGAATTTGCTTGTCCTCTCCCTCTTGTGAGAGGACAGTCCCTAATACAGCTGTACAAGCGTCCGTGAATATGATGAAGGGTCTTCATCCGCTACGCGTTTCTTCGATATTTCGTTGCGTTAATAGTGGCGCTGACGAGATCATCATTTTCAATTTCTGGAAAGCTTCCTGTTGTTCTTCTCCCCACTTCCACTCTGCTTTGGCGGATGTTAGCCCAAATAGAGGGGCTGCGATCTTCGAAAAATGTAAGCAAAACTTTCTGTAGAAAAATGCCATTCCTAGAAAGCTTCTCAGTCCCTTGACATCGGTTGGTATAGGGAAATTCATGACTGCTTCGACCTTCTTTTTATCGATGGCACTTATTCCGCATCGATGACATGTTCTAAAAAAGACACTGAGCTCTGCAGTAGAACGCATTTTCGAGCGTTCAGCATGAGTCCTGCGTGCCTCATGCGTCCGCGAATTTCTCGGAGGACCCCAAATGTCTTGCTCTCGTTTCTGTGCAGATTATAATGTCATCAATGTAGCAGAGTACTTCTTCCCCTATCAGTCCTTCTAAAACAGTGTCCATCAATCTTTGAAACGTGGCGGGATTTGTGTCCAATCCAAACGGAGTTACTTTGAATTAAAATAAGCCTTCATGCGTCATGAAAACCAATTCATGCTTTGTGCTTTCATATAAGGGAGTTTGCCAATAACCACTACATAAATCCAAAGTGTAGAAATATTTCTTCCCTGCCAGGCTTTGTAATATCGCGTCTATGGTGGGTAAGTGATAGGAGTCCTACCGAACCATTTATTTAGCTCCCGGTCGTCGGCGCACAGCCATATTCCCCATCTTTCTTCTGTACAAGCACTATTGGGAACGCCCTATCGGAAGTACTTTTCTCGATCACCCTTCTTTGTTCCAAATCCTTTGACATCCCTCGTAGCTTCGCACGAATTCCCAGGGGGACTGGTCGTGTTTTCAACTTGATCGCTTCATGGTTGCCTGTCTCTATTTCCATCTTGACCAGGTCGGTTTGCCTCAACTCCTTTTCGTATACTGCAAACGTGTCGCTATAACTTTCCAAAGTTTCTTGCAGTACGCTGTCAACCTCTTTTTCCTTCCTGTCTGGCCAATCTGCTCCCGGAGGAGGGTCTTCTTTTTTCCTTGGTAGTTCCACCCTGTCGTGGTTCAGCATAGAGCATTCTTCCCACATTTCTACCCAACCTTCAGTTGGGATTTCGCCAAGCTCGTCATCCTTGCGCAACACTAACGTAGTCTCGTCATAACTGTGGACAGGTACATACAAGGCTTGGTTTGGAATTCTGAATACTCCACTTGTCACTCCTTTCTTTGTTGACAAAAACACGCTGTCTTTAATTTTTGGAATTTCGCAGTTCGCTTCTACCAACTTGACGCCATACTGTGGAATCACAGCGCGTTTTCCCACTTTTCCCGCAGCTCTTCGCTCATGTGCCTGTGGCCTACCTTCCTTCTATTCAGGTGTGACTGCTATAGTAATCCCTACATTTTTCAAGGAATTGGTATCCAGTAAAAGTTCCAAACTATTCTCTTGTGAAATTTGGTAGGCTATCTCAGCCGTTCGGCCTCCGCTTATCGTCGTGGGTATCCTTACACCACCCAAGAAGTTGATTACGTTGTTCAACGCATCGTAAACGACGTCCATATCCTCTTCTTTTATTCGTTCCAGGCTATCTATGTCAGCCATTTCTGTACGCCGAAGCCAATACTTTGAGTGGTATCATGTTTATCATCGACCCTGAGTCTACTAAGGCTTCTACCTTGATTCCTAACAAACTTGCTGTTAGTAAGGTACGTTCCCTACTAGTCCTGTCTTTCCACCTTTGTTTAGCTGTTTCACACCTATTGTCTTAACTTGGTGTATTGGTGATGACAGCGAGTTTGATTTTCTTTCGTTTTGTGTCATTTGCACATTTTGTCTGCTTTTGTACTGCTTTTCTGGACATTCTTAGGCTAAATGTCCATATTTCGAGCAGTTATAGCACTTCGACACTTTCTTCTCCAGATTGCCCCTTGTCGAAATGCCTGTCAGTCGCTCTGCCTTGGTCCTCCGGGCTAAGAATGTTTGCGCTCCAATTGGCTGTAGGACTCTTGCCTTGGAGCTCCCGTCTTCCTTTGCGTCCTCTGTCATAGAGGCGTCCTCTGGTTTAGATGGAGTAGCTTCTACCGCGTGCCTCTTCTGGTAAGGTGGCTGATAGCTTCTCATCTTTGCATATTCCTGGGTTCTACTTTTCTATCTGGAAGTAATTATGAGCGTTTAAATGTGCGATTTGTCAAGTGCTCTGTTTCGCATGTTACGAAATAGGTTTTACAAAGACTTATTTAGGTTTTCGATAAATGTGCTCTTTCATTGAATTATAATAACCATAGCCACTGCAAATCCGCGCCATCAGACTGCCTTTCAAGAAAGTGTAATCGTCGAAAGTTCGAAAAATGTTTATGTTTGAACGCTCATAACTCCTCCCAGATAATCGCTTGGCAGATAAAAAACATATATTTGAAATTAGCGTTTTAAAAAGAGTCCGTTATACATAATTTGGAGTCAAACTGTTTAGTGTTTTAGGTAAAGAGCAAAGGTGATATCTTTGCAGGGCCGGCACAGCCTCGGGAAAAATTGCCAAACATCTCAGACTTTACGCCTTGAACGTGTTCTTTCACAAGCGCGCGAATTTCAAATGCAAGACCCATACAAACGAAGGGTTTGTTTGTGGCGCACTAACATGCACATGAGACCGAATTTGGGCTATTTGGCCTATGAGTATGCAATATTACTCAAAATTACATTATGAAAAAGTCTCAAAAACTTGTATGTCTTGATACCGATTCCCTGATTTGTTGGTTTCTAGACTAACGCCAAACTAGAAAAGTTGGTTCGGAGCATAAGTGTCGGAGAGTCCACCTAAGTTTCGGACATCATTGATTTGGACGATTGGAACGCTCCAAATCAATCATAAATGAAGAGAAAGTCGAGTATTCGATGGCTATCAATTCGATCATTCGATGGTCATCGAATACTCGAATATTCTATTTCAGAAATTGCGTAGTTTCTATCAAGCTGCGACTCCCAATGTGAGAGTGAAGTGGCCGCTATTCCACGTTAGTTGACCCAAAAAATGAAAGCCGCGAGTTTGGCTAAAATTTAATCCAGAGGTGTCATTTTGCACGCTGATTACGAATAACATCAAAATTATTTCGCACGGCAGTGCCATTTTGTGGAGTTACGGTAGGGTAGGGGGTCATAATCGCGGATTTGCCCCCAAACTTCGCCCAGGGGGGTTATTTGATACGCTGAACATGACTAACATATTCAGTTCCTACGGCAGCGCCGTTTTCTCTTGTTACGGTGGGCATACGGTAGGTGGCTAAATTCTGATTTTCTCAAAACTTTGCACGGAGGGGTTCACAAGCATGCTGATAACGAATATCATGTTCGTTTACTGCATCAGCGCATTATCGAGCATGATATTGGTAACCAGCATATTTAAGAACTTTTCTATGCAACGCTTTAAGCTTTGAGCTTTGATTTCTTGCGGATAGAATACAGCGTGAAATCCAGTTATTTGGAGCTTCAGGGTATGAAGCTTTCTTCGTAAGCTGCGATCTTCTCCCCAGCAGGGATGTTAATGCATGCGGCCCTAAGAGTAAGTTTTGCCTCAGCATAAAACCCCTATTCTCAAAGCACAGAATGGGCTTAATCTCAAAAGTAAAACCAACCCCTTGAGGGTAATTTTACCCTCAGGGTTTGTTGATGAATACGGCCACTGCAGAAACGAACAGTACTTCATGACGTGCAGAGTAGTAATTGCATGAAGGGGAACTGCAGAGACTCACAATACTTTTAAACTATGGGCTTGGTCATTCTAACATATCACATAAACTGCTTGGCGGGTGGAAGGCGGGGCCTTGTGGCCTAATTGATGCCGCGCGACGCAGTCTGCGTCTCTCCCGCGCGCGTGCTCTTTGGTTATTATCTGCCTCAATTAGGTCACGAAGCCCCGCCTTCCAGCCGCTAAGCCACTCGAATCAAAGAGTGACTTTCAACTTCCGAATTATTCGAAAATCGAATTATATTTGTTGTAGTCCTTGTTTTGTTAAGTCGAACCTGACACAATAGAATACTCTGTAGTTCATTAGCTGATCGGAATGGAGGGCGTGCAGGATCCTCCAAGGCTCGCCGCTTCTTCTTCAGGCTCGCCTTTGGGAGGTAATATTAATCGCGCCTACCTCGCATCTACGTCGCACCTATCCCACCTTCCTGCATTAGTTCCCCTCCGGATAATGTCTTGTTCTCCTTGCATAGATAGAAAGGACAGCACATAAGCGACGATTAAATGACTCCAAAAAAGTTATGAAAATGTTGAAAAAGAAATGCTTCCGATCCTGTTCATTGAAGATGTGGTAGGTAAGAGTAGAGTAAAAGCTGATCATGTTTTCTTGGAGGCGACAGGTTAAATTTATCAGGATTCAAAGTCTTAGGTAGTAGACCCCTCAAGTACACCGTAGCCCCAACCCCACCCTCCACATGCGCTAAGTCCTGTAAAGAAGCTCCAAATTTCCCTCACCCCGCCAACTTCCATTGAGTGGGCATTATCAATGGAAATTTGAAGCGGCTTTGTGGGACTTACCGCATGCATTGGAGGATGGGGTTGGGGCTATGGTGTGGTTGGGATACCTAGTACTTAACACTAGCACTAGCATAGGGGTCCATTTTGCCGATCCACTATTTTTGGAAACGTACAGCTTTGGAACACAGTTGGAGTCATCCTTTTTCGCACCTTAGCTGACCCTCTGAACTAGGATTAATCTTATGAGCATTGAATATCTCAAATGGATATGATATTCAAAAAATTAGACCTGGAGTTAATTGTCAGCTGTCATTAAACACGCTAAAATGACGTAATTTTTTTTAGAATTTCGGTTTTCGGCGACTATATCTCTCAAATCACTAGATTTCTTCACTATCTAATAGAGCACCATTTATTCTTCAAAACCTATGGAGTCGCAACTGCTGATATCTTCAAACACCAGATTTATAACAGTGGAGATTTTGCATGATTTTTCGTTACTTTATAATTCAAAATTCTGGTTCTCGGCGCTTAATCACTGGATCGACCTACTTTCTTCGCAGTACGTTATAACAAAATTTACCTAATGAAATACGATTAAAAAGAAGTTAGTGGAACTTTTGAGAAAGAAATCTTTTGCGAAAAGAGAAGTCGAGCTGTGCTTCCCATCCCCCCGGTCGACGTTTTTGGGAGGTGAGTGTTCGGCACTACCATCTTCACTTTTGGCCGGCCAGTGGTAGCTGGAACCACCTACACTTTTGAGGGGCCCGGCTCCACCTATCGCACCTCTGATCCTGATACGCCGCCGATCGGAATAATGAATGAATTATCATTTGGTTACGGTACCTATATATACACACCCGACTTTAAGAACGTACCACCCGGTACCAGGCACCTAGAAAGGCTTCATGAGAACAGGTGGGAAACTTATGAGGATCCGAGTTTGAAACTAATAACCGAACAAGAGATTGAATTACTACGAAAAACAACGATAGGACAATACAAATCTAATGCAATACATAATACATCACTTCATATTCGAAAGTCATTGATATTCGATATTCGAATGCTCGAGATTTTCGAATATTATTCGATGGTCGAATATTCGAAAGTTTCAATTTTTGAATATTATTCAGCAGTCGATATTCGAAATTTTCAACTTCTGAATATATTCGATATTCGAATATTCGAAAAAAAAATTCGAATTTCCCTAAGTGTGACACCTACTATACCTGGGAATCTCACTTGCATTCTGTTGAGCTCCAGATACGTTATCATAAACATAAAATGTTGAAGAATGTCTTCGCTGGAATTGCTAGCTCCATCTGCATTCAGTTGTTTACTTTCAGCTCCTCATCGAACAACGTCAATAGATCATCACACATAGTTCGACGAAATCATTTTTTATCGACTTGTCTGTTCTGGCTAGTTGGATCCAACTCTATTAACCTGGCATTTTCAAGTAGGATGTTTTGAAAGTATAGAAGGAAAGTTGCGCAAACAGTTCATTTAGCTGTCTGTACCCGAAGTTCTTCATCTCTCAGCTTTCACCTGCAAAGATGTAGTTATGTGTAGTTTTTTTATTTTCAAGTACGGGTAGATTAGCACGTCTGATATTATGTCCTTGAAGCTCGATAAATTATGTTTGAGCCAACTGCCGTAGTGAAGACTACCAAGCACATTAAATCAAAATGCATTTTATTTACTACAATTGCACATGCAGAGGCAAAAAATACATACAGTCTTAGCAGTAGAAAAGAAAGAGTACGAGCATGTTCAGTACAAAGACAGAATATTGTAATCCTCTTTTACAGACTCTGATGAGATGTGAGCAATAGTTGTTTTCCCTTTTCCAATGAGGATAAAACTAATGTTGACAATAGAGAAGGAGTAACGAAAAAGAAGAGAAAGTGTAAGAACTCAACGCTTGACTAGATATAATGAATGCATCATTGAGAGATTGAAGCTGTCGAATCGCTATATCGTCTTTCTATGGTACTTATAAAGCTAGGTACGTTCAGAGGTCGGCGTCGTAAGACAGCGTTAGCCTAGAAACAAACTTTAGATAAGAAGTCACATTTGGGAATATATGAAAAAGCTTTTTTGACAACGATTAACAATGAAAATGGTTACATAAGTTTCTCTGCAGCACAGTGCGCAGTTAGGAAGTCATCCCAGCAAACCAACTAATATGCTGCCCAGTCACGAGCATATCCCGAGTACATACGGTTCAGTCCGGTATGACTGCCATGCTTTCCTCCCAAATACTGCGGGGCATACGAAGTCTGAAATGAGGGTAGCATCGACAATACAGTCTTGAAACTTCACTGAGGATGCTTGATCTGAAGATGTCGCATTTACGATGGCGTCGTATTTGCCAAGTTGTGGCTGCACATAATGTGCGAGAAACTATCATGAATACTGCTTCGAGACTGAAAAATCTTTTGCTCCGAGACTGAAAAATCTTTAGCTCCGAGAGAAAAATTTCCCTGAAGAACTTGTTCTTCCTTGAGCCATTACTATTAGTGAAACTTCAAAAGAACATGAGCAGCAAACACAAATTTATCTCTGCCATACATTGTACACTTGGAGATGCAAACATAGCAGCATAAATGATTAGTAGCGCTAAACATGAACATATGCTCGTTAATGGTGCTTGTAGGCTTGTTGACTCTCGACCTGTGAAAAATCATAGATATCTGGCGCCTAAATGGCGTTAAAAGGCGTGCCTTGCGAGACATACAAAAATATGTAAGAACAGAGAAGAGCAAGACATAGGTAACAAACGCTTGTGCTAGAAGCAATCTAAAACAACTGGACGATTATAGTACATTTGGTTCCAAAACATATATATTGTAAACCTTCAACGACGCTCTCCATAAAGTGGTTAACATCGAGCTGTGTTCTACGAGTAGGCATCATCGATAGCTTACCGATTAAAGCGTAAAGCGTAAAGGATATATCGTGTTTAATCCTACTATCCATCAACGTCACAGGCTACTTAGCTCGCTCGTCCTAGCGTCTCAGCGCGGCTTCGGTCAGCACACGTTAAATGGAGTCGAAATGGCTTAGCTGGCAAAGTTTTGGCTTCTGCACCACCTAGTAGTAGGGATAGAAATGAGAGTAGACGCTGGTGCGAGGAAGTGAAGAGGAGCGGTAGTTTGAGTACGAGTTGGTCCTCAGCAACTCCATCTGCCGCAGCGCCTGGTTCAGCTTACTGGACAGCTGGCTGTACTCGGTACGCAGCTAAACACACATCATTCTCACCACAAGTAGTCATGTTCAGTGATCAAACCGCTAGCTACTTGAGGGGAAGAGAAACCCCGGCATATACATTCTAAATGTTCTGCAGAAGAAAACAAGTTGTTAGAATGGCCAAAACTATTGCTAGCTAGAAAGGAAGACAAGCGGAACAGTTTCACAGACTACGATCTGAAAAAGATCACAATGGAAACTTCCATGAAACTGCATTCATTGCAATTCCATAAATGGTGTCATCGAGACTCAGAAAGTTTTGAGATGATAACGTTCAAGGAATTGCAACCCATTCACTAATGCACGTTTTGGAGCTGTGCTTATTTAATGAGAGAGGCTTGCACTAAACCAGTCAATTGAATTTCGGAACTTCTCTGCCCCTCTGGCAGCTCTTCGTACCGCATAAGTTACAGAATGTTACAAGAAGCGAATCGTTTAGGTTGGTGCTGCATTTCGTCTAGCATATTGACCACTTGCTGACAGATATAAGGAACCACGAGCAAGCGCTCACCCTGTCCTTGTTTATCAATTCACGGGATAGTGATCTTTCCAGTTGACCAATCCGTCCCTGAAAAAGGGGATCTTCGGGGAAACACTATTATTGCGTCGTAAAGCATGCGAAGAAAATGTAGGCCAGATTGGCTCCGATAGTCTAATACCTTAGTTCTATTCGAAAAGCTGATGCTTACCAAAAACGCCAACAAAGTCCATACTCACTTAATCTGAAGTTAGACGCAAAATTTAGAGTGGACTGGAACTCACTGCGTGGGTCCAAAGCAGCGTCTTTTCATATTGGAAACTTTTGTTAAAATGGATTGTTGATATTTGCGCTATGTCCAAGGAATTACTTGTTAGATGTGACAACGCCGAGTTTACGCCTGCCAATGGCGATTGACTGTGCCGACCTACGCTCATCCAGTAAGGCGACTTTTAAGCATTTACATAGGTGCTCTTGGACTCAGCAGAGCTAATGGTGCGAATATTGCTCAATGTGAGGTTGAATGAACGCGTCAAATGTGACGTTGAATGCACGCGTCAAGGAGTTTCGAAATAGGCTCAGGAATGAAGTTTAAGTATCTAAGATGGTGCAGGTTTGAATCCTTTTGAATTTGCAGTTGCACTAGCTTGCTGGAAGCAGCTTCTCAAGTTCCTGCTTTGTAATGGACTTGTGTGTTTTCTGTTAGTGAAGCGTTGTGCTAGAAAGGCAAGTTAGAAGCCGTAGTGCATGTTAGCTATAGGTTCACCAAAGAGGGCATGGCCACCTGCTTCTATGCCATCATGCGCACGACTTTCGCATTTTAATGACGTACCACAGAGTAGTGTGGTGATTGTTGTGCAAGTAGTGCAAGTGCAGGAGAAATCGAAAGTTAACAAATATTTTTTCACAGCATGCCGACGCTACACTTTTGACAGCGGTAACAAACTTCGACAGGACGCGTTGTTTGCGTGCGAAGAAAGTGTGGCGCGGAGCAGCAGAGAAAGAGACATGCACTTACCTCGTACATGCTCATGATCATTGGTGTCGTGTCGTACTGGTACCGCTTGAAACGACGGGTAGTGTCGGTATCGACATAGGATGGTGAGGAATTGTAGCTCTAAATCAACAAACTCGTCACAAAACCTACTTGGGCGGGGAAGTGTGATATTTCAATTCTCCTGCTATCCTTCTTTTAGAAATCTGACCGTGTGAAGCCTACCCGTTTCATGGTCAGTGAGGTTATGCCACAATTTTTACTACTCCCCAGACCATAGTCAACAAGACTGTAGGGCACTATACGGGCTCAATAGGCTCCCCCGCGCGAGCAGCTGCTACACTGTAATGCCTGCAATATGCATGGCTGTTGCAATGCCAATGTTTGTTGCGATGCCCTTGTGGGACCACCTCCTTTCGGTGACATATGTCCTCTCCCAATAGGATTCTATAGACGTACATTATACAGTCTGTTCCAATCCCAACCAGGCCAAAATTGGCATCGGGAGTCCGCGTCGCTAGGGTTTCGCGGTCACGCCCACGGCCTGCTTCTCTGCTCTCTCTGCAATCGTTTTGCTCTCTCCGACAGCGCGCATATGCAGCGCAAACCGCTAGCGCTGCGAGCGCGCAAATTTACGCCGACGGTTCGGCCTGATCCCGGTTGGAGCAGACTGTAGAACAGCAGAACTCGTGCGTGTGAGGTGTGTACAGCGAATTCTTCTCTCCGTTGTCAAATCAACAAGAAAGGAGACTTGGTTATTCATTTGTTCATTTGCAATGGGCTGTATTACTGATGGAAACGTTGATTTTTATTCCTTCGGTATTTGGTGAATGGTTGTCCAAAAGAAGCTATAGCCACTATATTATTTAGCATTTTGCCTTTGTGTGGAAAAGCTTGCCAACCAGTAATTTCGAATCTTCTTGCCTTTCTAGAATCCAGGACAGAAATTTCTTATCTCGGGAGATCTCAGCTGATATTGGAGCTATTTTGGAACTACATAATGCTTTCTACATAACGCCTACTGATGTGAAACACTCTTGCGTATGATAGGCATCTTCGATGGCAGAAAACCTAGAAGTTCTTCAGATCCGCACCTTACATTCTGGTGTCTCCGGACACAGAATGTAAGATTAGAAGATCTATGGGTACTCTAGAGATATTAGGATTGCGAGAAATTTGTGTACCTTATTGATCTGACTTGTTCATTTACGGCAGAATTCATAATGTGAACTGCTGAAATCGCTTATATGGGAGGGTTGGGAATCATTGACGGAGCTACATTGCAATCAGGTAGTAATTCTGTGTGGATAATGCGCATGGTTGATCCTGTAGTAACTACATGCTATTTCTACTAATCCCATTATTGAAAGACATGAATTTAAAGGGAAGGTGTCCAATCGAAGTGAATTTTCAAATAAGATGTATACCATATTGGAGGGTATAAAACGCTGTCTCCAAATGTGCCTTCCTAATCTGCTGGCCATTTATTGAAGAGGAGTTATGAGCGTTTACTGGAGCAAAGAATTGGATGGGTAAGTAGAACGAAATAATCGTAATATTCCCTATAGCGCTCTAATGGAGCAGTGATAATTATCAAAACATTTCATCCAATAAGTACTTTGAGATAAAAAAAACTATCACACTTGGCTGCTTTATTCGAGGGCTAGTAAGATTTTAGCAACTCATTTGTCATTAAATGCACATTCAATTTTTTGCTTTAATAAACGCTCATAACTCCTCTTCCACAAATGTTCTACAGATAAGGAGGGCAGATTTGTAATCAGCGTTCTATGCTCTTCATACTCCACAACCATCTCAAAAGACCACTTCGACTAAATATTTCCCTTGTTAGCTATGTAATCGGAAATGAAGCAAAATCCAGTTAACGCCCACAAGTCTTCTACCCTTCCGAATGAAGTGCTGCCTTCCGACACGCCCAAGTTAAGAGGGGTGTAGGACTATATGTCACCGAATGTAGGAGGGTCCTGCGCGGACTCCCTGCAAAAACTCACCTTCATGCATGTGGAAGGGTGCGTATTTGTTGCAGATGACCGCGGGGGCCGCCCCATTTCGGCGACATGTAGTCCTCCACACAATTGAAAGTCCAGGGATACATGCGTAGAAGAAAGCTCCAGTAGTCATATTTCAGAGGTTGTCACATAAGTCTTTTCATATTCGAACCTTCAAACTGATATTTCTCAGGAACTAGGACACATAAAAGTTGCCAATTTGTGGCGTTATCTATGCGTGACTAAGCTATATAATCACATTCTGCGGGGAACACAGCAAATTTTAATAATTAATTAATCTTATAGACTTGTTCTTGATTTCTAGCCATTGAATGCAGCAAGTGTATGTATAAATATCGGATGGGAAGAGTAAGTGCGTGAGCTAGTGGGAACTTCGCAGAGTTGTTTTGAACTAAGATACCATTATTATCGTTTTTTCGCGGATTCGGAATTTTTTTTTGGCTTTGAACTCATTGTGGAACTTGGTGCGAATTTCGAACGCCATTTTGCAGAGCTTTATGGTCTTTCGAATGGCAGCCCGCATCCTGTTAGATATCTGAGAAGAACTGACTTACGTCGCTGAAAATTTAGATATGAAAAGACTTAAGGGACAACCTCGTACATCTTATTCCAAGATAGCCATTTTGATCAAAGGGCATATTTAGTCGGGTCTAAAAGGCCTTCTGGCAATGCTGAGATATGATATAGTTACCGTGTATCCACTCATCGTCGAGTAGCCACCAGATCGTGAGGACGAGCGGTAGCGATCATAAGTAGATGGCATCTTAACAAGTAGAGGAAAAGCATCCAAAGCAGCGTTTGCAGAACCCGCTCACCTCGTACTCGTACGGAGTGTGAAGATCGCGTACATAGCTGTCCACACGAGACAGACGGCCAGCACCAACATATAGATCGGGTCGCGAGCTGTAGTGCCTTTATGAATCCGAGATGGGACCTGACGAAAAACAACTCACTAGCTACGTGAAAGTGGAGCGTCGTAAATCGACGAGCGCGAAGCGTTGCGGGACAATTCGCCATTTTTGGATCCGGAGTATTCTAGGAACGAGATGAACGAACCACTTCGAGAAGGTGGTCTACTGTACTCGCGTGATGGTGGCGTCGAATACTCGCGAGTGCGCTGCGGAGCAGGATACTGTGACGAGTACCTGAACTCCGAGATCAGCTCGTGCAAGTCTTACCAAGGGTGACTACGACTCAGTATGCAAATAAGGCACAGCCAGTACGCTGCCGCTTATTTGTTAATGAAGCCGCTCAATTAGTCGTAAGCTAGAACACTCTAAAGAGGAAATAAAATGCGTATCGTACTACAAAGCGCTTACGAGTCGAACAGATATCTGTAACAAAGCCGAGTAAGAAATGAACATACGACTTAGTGCAATGAATCTAAGAGTTGGCGAAATATTTTCAACCCACCTGTAGTAGTTGGATGCAGACCTCTGAGATCGCATTGCTTGACGACGCTCACGAGTTCGACTGCGCGATCTTTCAATCAGCCTGGTGGTTGAGTAGAGGGCGGAAGAAAAAGGTCCTAAAACTTGAGCTCGTTGGAAACCTCGCACTTATTGGGATTTTTGAACCGAACCTGTGTTAACGATGTCGTCGAATTGAGTTATATACGTGCTGTTTGGACGATAGGTGGAGCTAGCGGTATACTCATTTCGATACTTGTAGGGATTTGAGACAAATGGGCTATAAGGACATATCAGTGGCGTACCGAAGGGGAGGGGATTAAGCGACAAAAATTTTGAAAAGCATTCCAAAAATTTTCGAACGTGTTTAACGCCACAGCTTTATTCAGAAAAATTGTTGCCCCCTCCCCCTAACGAAAGTCCTGTAACCACCACTGGATTATAATATATATGTACAGGGTGTCCCAAAAAGATGTGCCTGTTTGATTAACTCGCTTACTTCGATTACCTTTGTCGACCTTTAGATACCATTCTGTAGAGCTGATCTCAACATATATTCATAGTATAGAGCGTCTGTGATCTATCTTCGTTATTGTAGGATTACGGTAGGAACTTTTAGCATAATGCGCCATGTCAAACTAATAGGTCTTTCCATAAGTTCGTAGCGTTTTCATTTTCGTCGTCGTTTTTTGGTGAAGCAGTTGGTCTACGGCAAATTATCTGGTATCAATCGAAACAGCCAAGTTCTTCCTACAAAACCTGCTCTTGTTGTTTTTGAAGCAATCCTGATGATCTTTGGTTCATAACTTCTCAAAGCAAAGATTTTTGAGTGGCAGAAATGGCCATTTCGGCGCCTGTGCTTTTCGCATTCCGTCCATATCCCACAAATATTTCTCTGTATGTATGGTCGGAGTAGCAAGTCAAGCAACGCTGATCTGCTGACACGATGGTGTCCAGCTAATGCTAAGAGCTGTTTGAACGAAGTCTCAAAAGTTGCTGTCTTCGACTGCTGCAGCTTGAGTTTTACGCGTCGTTTTGTAACAGAATGTTCTCGTCCAGCTATCAAGCGAGAGATGAACAGCTTTGTCTAGGTGGTGCAAAAGTTTGAATGCAGCCTGTGACCAGCAATTTTACGCTTTAGCGAAAAATTTTGGCTCAGAAAACTTCCTCATTCCGGCCAAACGCAAAACATCTACACATACCGTAAAAGTGCGATCTATCATTCTCTGTAGCGTCTCCCTTGACAAGGATTCTTGTTCTACGTGCATCTAGTCCGGTAAACAGTAATTTTCATCACCCATAACAATTTCGAATAGAAATTTTCCTCTCATAATTTCCGTATATAGCGCCGAAGATGAAGATGCCGAAAGCGTCATTTGCTACACAAAAAACTCTGCTTTGAGCAGTCACAAAACAAAGGTCATCAGGGTTACTTTGAAAATAAAACGCAGTTCTTGTAGAGTAGAATTGGCTCTTCTTGGCTCTTTCGGAGGGTGTAAACATTTTGCGGCAAATCTACCGCTTCACCAGAAAACCACGACAAAATTAAAAACGCTACGAACTTATGGAACAACTTAATAGGTTGATGAGAAAATTCCAAAAAAAAAACGTGGAAAATTGTGTGTCAAGGATTTCATGCATGATTTCGTTACGCGAATATCGAAAGATTTCTGAGTTTTTTTTAGAAGGGTAGTTACATTTTTGAAATATACTGAAGGAGCAATTATTACCATTTTTTTCTGATAAAACTTATAAAGGAAGCATAAACCTGGAGCGCAAATTTTATTTTTGAGATCAGCGACTCCAGTTAACGGAGTATGAAGGTTGGTTTGTTTGGCTTCCTTTTTTTAGGCAAAATGCGACTCCTAACGCTTAAAAACCTTCTTCAAATTTCCTACCGTATCCTATAGTAACGAAGAAAGACGGGAATTTGGTCCATACTGTAAGTCTAAGATGAAGCCAACTCTAAGGAATGGTGCCAAAAGGTCGACAATGAAGACAGTGAAGCAGAAGCGTTATTAAAGATCCAACAGAGTGCACATCTTTTTGCGACACCCTGGATAATGACGATGTATGATGGAAGTTTCGCGTAATTTCACAGTAATGAAGAGCGATGGTTGCTCTGTTGAACTATACTTGACGCTAAGCAAAACACTTTGTGGTAAGCGAGTTATTAACGGTCAAAAAGGTTCTTACTTTTGAGACACCGTGTATAATTCAAAATGCGTATTGATGGCTACCTGACGGCTGAGTAAGTCTGTTTGTCTGGCGGACTCCAGGATGAGAACGACGTTGCAGTGGGGATCCGCGGTGGAGGTATATGACGATGAGAGTCCTTAAAAGCGCGCATTCTCTCGTCTCAACTTGGCAGCTGCAACACACCTGATCATAGCTGACATAGTCACGGGCTGGGCGTCGTTCTGGGGAAGGAGACTGTGCTCTAGCAGCGCGACGTGGCGGTGATGGAGACGCAGCACGAGCACGAGCTGGTCTCGATTCCACTTTCTCTTCTCTTTCAGCGGCAGGAGGCTCAGCCGTCGTTTCAATAACTTTGACCTGATGAACATCGCTCAGTACTATTTAGCTATGCTTCGCAACTGATTACTCACTGGTGGAGGCACCTCTTCTTCATTCGTAACTGCATCAGCTTTTTTATCAGGTTGCTCTTGCTGAGTTGGCTCTTGGGAAGGAGCTTCCTCAGTTGAAGCATGTTCATCCTGAGCAGGTTCCTGCTGTTCCGGTTCTGTCACACCAGCCGGCGCTTCCTCTGGCGCAGTATCATGTTTGACTTCACCAACGGCGTCTTCTTGCACAGGCTCTACAGCCGCCTCATCGTCAGCATGTTCATCATCCTTACTGAAAACACAAACGTCTTCAGGTATATAGACTGATTAGCTAGAAAACTTACTGATGCTTTCCCTTCTTGGCTCTAGCTGTGCGTGCAGATTTGGGGGTACGTGGAGTTTTCGTTGGTGACGAAGGAGCTTCCGAATCTGCTCTGGGAGTGGCCGGGGTTTCATCAAAACTGAAGGCAACTGCTGATTTTGGGGTACCGGTAGCCTTCGGCGTAGCCAACGACGCGGGTGATGCCAATCTCGGACTGAAACTACGCACTATTCTACACTACCCTCTAGAAGCTCTCATTCTGTGGTTAAAGCGCACTGTATTCTGCATAACAGAAAAAAATAAGACGACGAATTTCAAATCATACGTTTCAGCCTTCACTGACGGCGTTCCTGGAATACTACCATTAGCTATAGAACCGTTTGCTACTTTAGGGGTTGCTGGGATAGAGCCGACTGCTGATCTAGGAGTAGGTGGCACTGAACCTGCGGGTGTTCCTCCAGCCTGCAATGGGAAATCACGATTCGTATGAAAGTGGAATGGATAATCAGTTGTATGTATTCACATACTTGAGAATATTCCTTGGGTGTTGGCGGAACAGAACCTCTTGATGCCTAAACGTTTTACTTTAGCAATGATCATGTGCTTTCTTTCATGAACCTCTTCTTGTGCATTTTTTGGAGTTGGTGGAACAGAATCATCCTTAGTTTTCGCAGCCTGAGAAAAGATATTTGAGAAATGGAGTCAAATAAAGTGAACCAACAAACTTCTGCTGTTACAGATTTTGGTGTGGGTGGAACTGATCCGGCCGGGGTGCCAAAAGTCTTTAAATTGATTTAATATAACAATAATGAACCGGTGAGGTTAGTGAGCTCTTTGCAAAAAACATACTTCTCCTGATTTCGGTGTAGGTGGAATTGAACCTCCAGTCGACTTCGGCGTCTGTGGCACAGACTCGAACTTTTCTGGATGAATGTAACATTGATATGTTAAGATGGTAGGTGGTTTTCAGATGACCAGATAATGTGATACATAAAAAGTGATAATTTGGTAACCCCTCAACATAACTGACCGGCTGCAGGAGTGGCTGGTGCGGCATCTTGGCTTGCTTCTGTGGGCTCAGCAGTCACTTTCACTGCTGGAACTTCTTCTGCATTGTCCTCCTTTTCTACGGCTATCTTCGCAGTTGTGTCTTCCGCTTGAGTGTCGAGTTCATTAGGAGTCCGTGGGCGTTTACCCTCTGGAGGAGCTTGAAGCTCAAAATCCTTTCCTCCTTCCGGAGTGGTATTTTGCTCGGGAGGAGCCATCTAAGAAGTTGTGAATTAACCTTCACAAAGTATTCACAGGGAAAATACTCTTATTTCAAAGGGTTTCGTTATTAATAATGGAGTCTTTTCAGATGCAGATATTTTTGAGTTGATCAAAATTATAGTAAGATTTTGAAATTTTGTGAAGTAAATGAGCATGACTCCATTGCGGTTCACTAATCTTTGAGCACACCTTTTGATTTCTTGTACTGTAGGGTAACGGGCTCGACATAGTACCGCTATGAAAATTCACTACACAAAAATACAGAGTTGTCATCAATGTGAGCTGCTGTACACTCCTCCTCGGGTTCTTGCATTATGTTTATACTAGCTAAAAACCGGGTCTGGGCGTGATATGAGCGCAGACAAGGTAGACATTGAAGGCGTAAATTCTGCATATGATTGACTGTTCCGCGAGCTAGTAATATGGTCTTCTTATTTAAGCCAACAGTTCCAGTAGTAGCAAGTTCAGTTCTTTCCACTCTCTACAACTAGAAGAACTGTGAGGATTTGAGCACGAGGAAGACAATACCGCTCGTATCTTATATGTAAAGCTAAACGTCTGTTTTGTGTCAATCTGTCTGTAAGTATGTTCCGAATAAAAATTTTATTTCTGAACCGATCCCCAAAGACACATCTACACTCCGGGACGGAGCAGGTGTCGTAGGCTACTTTTCGTTATCGATCGATATCGATTTTTCGCAAAGTTTGAGTTACGGGATGGGAGTTGGCACAGGGGGTAAGTGAGCATTACGAAAATATTATTGACGGGGTAGGGCGGAGCCAGGTTTGCCTAGTTTTTGAAAAAAAAAGACGCACAGTCGCGCGATTCATGTGACGCACCATGGCCATATCTCTCTTCAGGGGGTGGAGAAATTCTTAATCAAGCGCATTCGACTCGGCTCGGCGCGGCGCATCTTCTGATATAAGATAGAAGTGATAGAAGTGCCTGTCGACACAGTAGGAGGCCAGATTCCAAAAACCGTTTCAGATTTCTGCTTATGGTAGGTTGCCAGTGAGCGCAATGAATAAGCACACTGAGTAACCTAACCTACCGTTAGCCAAAATCCGAAACGATTCGTGGAATTTGGCATCACTATCTCCAACGGGAATTCTATATATCAGTAGATGCGCCGCCCGGAGCTGAGTGGAATGGTGCCCTTGGATCAAGAATGTGTACACTCTGAGCGAGATATGACCACGCTAATCGGGCCATAAAAATGTGCAAAAGACTTATTTATACTTGTAAGAAATAAAGATAATTTTTTAAAAATTTTAAAAATTCAATTTAGCTTTATAAAAAAATTTTTTTGGGAGCGTGGCTGACGCCACGCCCCCTTTTTTTTTAAATTTCGGGGTTAGGGGCCCCCGAAAATTGTGAGAAGTGTACCAAAAATTTTTTCTGGGTGCGTGGCTAACGCCACTAGCTTCGTGAGCAGTGCCATGCAGTTCGATGCAATGACAAGCGCGTTAGTTATATATAGTGGCAATGTTTTATTTTCAAATGAGAAGCCAGAGAAAGATGAAGAACTCATTGCAAACTGATGTAAACTCTTGCTTCGCCATTTTTAGAAAACATAGAGCAGAAAAAAATACCTGGTCCTCTACTTTGGCTCCCTCCAAAGGTGCCTCGTTTTTCTCTTCAACCTCTTCTGCTGCAAGGGCTACATCCGATGGAGCATCTTTGGCATCGGCAGCCTCTTCAGGAGGTAAAGCATCGTCGGCAGCAGCGGATTGATCTGCATGAGCAGCCTCTTCTTTAGACTGCAAACAGAAATACCCAATTTTGCAATGCAGCGAAGCAAGCAAATCACCTCTGACTCAAATGTTTCAACTGGAACTTCCGCAGCCGCTGGAGCTTCTTCAGCCACAGGCACTTCTTCGGCTGCCGCAGCTTGATTAGCTGCTGAAGTCCCGTCAGCTGCTGAGGGCTCATTAGCTGCTGGGACCTCAGCAGTCGCTAGCGCTTCATCAGCATTCACGGGAGCATCTTTAGCGTCCGCCGCTTCCTCTGCAGGTAGTGCTTCTGCAGCAGCTGGCGTCTCCTCAGCCAAAGCAGCGTCATCGGTTACGGGAGCATCTGCTTCGGTTGCTGGTGGTTCAGTTGCAGACGCGTCAGCAGCGGCAGCATCATGCTCTCCAGACACCTGGATGGAGTGACACATCCGAAAGATGGGAAACCATTACGACAGAATACACAGCGATCTCAATTCGGAGTGAAAGGTCATGAAGATAGCAAAAAACCCAGCAACCAACGAAATCTAGTTTACCGGAGGTCATGTAAAGGAAGACACCCAAAATGTTAGTTAGGAACCTCATCGTTTATGTCAACGTCGTCATCAGCTAGGGCAGGAACGTCGTCATGTGCGGTCCGGAATCCTTCACTGGCACTATCTGCAGCGCCTGGTGAGTAATGTGCTTCACGACTGTGGTGGGCAGGCTGATCTTTTGCATCGTCTTCCATATGTTCTCCTTCGTCTTCTTCCATTATGGCATCGCCATACTCCTTCACGAAGAGTCTTTACACAAATAAACGCATATCTCATTTACAAAAGCCGAGGGGAGAAGAACAAAATGAAGTTAGAAGGACCGAAAATTGCTCATAATTGAGTAGAAAAAGTCATCCGATCTAAGATAAGCGGATTAGTTGGGAGAAAAAAGGGCACAAGAATAATGCTTTTGTAACCTGTGTTTCCTCATTCGTTGGCAGATCTTCTATGCCATCCATGCTTGTTGTCATAGGGTCAACGTAATCCGTTCCCGTAATATCGGGTACCTCAAACATTCATGTTGGATGAAACAAAGATTTACTCAAACTTTCGTGTTGGATGAGATAGCAATATAATGATTGATTGAGTGGTGAATACAGCCAGTAACGAGCATCTCTAGAAAAAAGTGCGCGCGCAAACAGGATAAGGGATAGGTGATCCACGATCGCAAGGGGTCGATTGGTTGCCTCCTTAGCGTGGATTACAACAACATTCTGTTTGCTTAGAAAGCACTCGGAGAGGCGCGAAACAAAGTTGGCAGCAACTGGGTTTTTATGACTTGGGCCTCCCTCATTACTTATTCAGTCAGTAGTGGCCGAGTTTCTTTCACGTGTCTCATTTATAAATTACAGCAAGGAACCCCTTGATCAAAACCATTTCACTAATCATGTTCCATGCCGAAGAGTGAGCGGAAGCATCGAATGCTAATACGTATTCTAATTTGCTGCTTGTCATCATATCCAGCGTGTTGCTTCCAAGCATTTGTACTGCGTTCTACGTGGCACCCCTAAGGCTGGATGAAAAGTGACCGTCGGTCCTGCTTTGCCATTAGCAAGCAGATCGAAAAAGCAAACCGTTAGCGCTGTGTAGCAAATACGCAGCTAAAAACCAAATTGGTGCAGGCACCGCCACAAAAATGTCTTTTATCGCAAACAATATGCAGTGGAATTTGATGAGATGATTTTGTTTCCAGAAATTTGGTCCGAGATAACGAATCTGTGCCAGCGCGAATGTCAAGTACATCGATCTTATGGCATCCGGAGGTCCTCGAAAATAATGCGCGACTGTTTCATGCCTGCCGTGAAATGCAAGGTGGGACTTTATTCTGAGCAGATCGACTAATAGCAAACGCGACCACCCACGAAGCAACCATCTGCCAGCGACGCTGCGCCAAGCGCTATGGGTTCGACACTTTACTGCGGCATGCATGTGTTCGTGATGGCAACTGTGCTCGTGCGCTGTAACATGCGTCAAAAAATCTTGCTTAAACGAAAATAGAGCACATATAGATTTTTTGCTGACTCATCCCACACAGGGCTATCCTGTTGTGCTGGCCAAACAGATTATTTTCCTTGGAGCACCTACACCGCGATGGATGCTGCTATTGTCATGCTGTGTGCAGACCCTTTGCTTACAAAAGGTAGAAGTCTCATTTCAGAAACGCAATTGCCGCTGCGGGAGGTGGAATCTATGATGTGCGAGGAAAAAACTGCGAGCAGGCTCGCTTGATGCTGGAAGCGATCTACGCTCCACAGCTGACAGTTGTTAGCCGAAACAGCTCCCTCAGCAAAATAAAACCCACAGCGGGCTTGTTAGTTTACCATGTTTTCAATGGAGAAACTCCAAACTTTCTGTGTTAATCACTACTTGCCTGATCCTCGGTCCTATCTTCATCAGCGGGCTGGGCGCTCTTCTCCTCTTCAGCGTCAGCTGTTTCTGCGTTGGCTGAAACTGTGACATAGTGAGAGGATATATGCTTAATTCAGCAGGATCTCCTCTTTTAAAGATAAGGTTACATCAAACCGCATTTTGTTACAAAAACTGAGCATGCGAGCTTGTTGATGAATTAATAGATGTAAGTTCATTCGCATTGCCATAGAAGCGGCGTTGGGACCATTAATAGCGAAATCTTCGTTGTCACGCCAAATCACAAAATACACCATTGCTGACCATTTTGAGGTAAACTGCCGTTGGCATGATCCATCTCCACGGTTATCTCTTTCTTTATGAAGATGGACTCCTCCTCGACATCAGCGTCAGGAGCCACCTCGTTGTTCTCCACCGGTTGCTCTGCCTCTGACATCTACGGCCAACCTGAACCACCAGCTGCTGAGTGCGCGTGTTGTAGCCTAACTCGGTAAATGCAACAAAAGTATCGCCCAAGTGGCACAGGAGAACCTATCGCAGCCGCAGTGCGGAGTGCGAGATTGCGGCAAACGATGAAGCTGCCAGTAGGAACATAGCTACGAATCCGTTGCGACAATGCAGTATACATATATTATAAATTGTACATATATATACATATACATACATATGTACATATGTATACATATATATACATATATACATATATATATTCCATACATCTACTTGGGTGCTCAGAAAACTTGTTTGGTGGTTTGCTGCAGTGAGAATGCAACTCGAAAGCCTTTGATCTCATGCACACATTCTTTATTTTTTGGAAAAGATGATGTCAACATGCAAACGGTCATGCAGGGACTGAGATTCCGACGATGGGACAAAATAGCTACTGGACTCAAAATGGTGTAGTGAAATGTCGCACGTATTACCAGCAAATACATTTCGTGACAGGGTTCTGACAAATCGGAGCAATTTAATGAGAACTTTGGTTAGGCTGGCAATTGCTGAGCAGGTGAATGTGGGTTGAAGCAGTCGCAGCTGGGAAATCTCGTGAAGAAGACCAGTGGACCAACTGCATATGATAAGCATAGTGATTTTTAACTCCAATCAAGTGCGGAACCTGTTCTGAAGGGCAGGTGGAGTCATGTTTATGAGGGAGAAGAGGCGTGGGTGGAACACATTGAGGCAAGGAGAGAGTGAGCCGAACGAAGTGAAGGCTGGAGAGCCAGAGAGCGGGTAGTTAGAGTGATTGAGCAGCTTGCGCTCGATAGGAAAAACGTGGGATTTCGAGCACTCGCAGTTGCTTTTCTGATCAGAGAACACGAAAAACACTATAAATTTTCTCAGATTATTTTCGATCAGGTCGTTCTTCAACTGTTGTGGTACATATGTGTTTCCTTTAGCTTCGCTCATGGCTTTCGCTGCTAATGGGTATCTATCAAACTGTATGAAAGCACGAACGCAGTCATAGGAAGTTAGTCTCTTCTATATTGTTTCGGCAATCGGCTGTTAGCAGTCTCATGGGGTGTTGAAAAAAATTTTTTTGAGAAAAACGCTTCAGAACCATTTCGAAATGGATGTGCAGAAAACTGGGTCAGTGTACTCCAGGGGAAGAAAGAGTTGATTACGATCTCAAAAAAGGCACGCAAACATGAGAAAGCTACAAAAGATCTGCACTGGAGTTTGATGATGTTGTTAGTGAAAGACTTGCGATATGAAGCTTGCATGCAACTAATAGTAGCTGGGACGCTGACGCTGTTGTTGTTGCTAGTTTGTGACAAGATCGTGAACAAAAATATAACAGGACAATTGTCTAACTAACTGAGAACAAAAGCGCATTCCCTCAGAAAAATGTATACATAGATACTTTTGAGATCCGCATCAAGTAAAGGTCGGTCGACAATTCGTGAAGTTGTTAGATATGAATTGGACTGAACATCGTGAAGTGAGAGAATGAAAGCAGGTGTAATGAGATCATTGGTGTAATGGAATGTCGCCCACTGAGCCGAGCTTCCTCAGTCATAAGTTGTGTATTAATGGTAGCACACACCGAATATTGCAGCGTGACACTGGCTCAGACTGTGTATGTACAATTCCTGAGTTCGTATTCAACTCTGGCAGAACTTTGTGCTAGTCTCGTTTCCTTTCCAACGAAAATTGTTCCAGGAATTCGCGTATTGCGCCATATAGCTTCTTTATAACACTATAAAAAGCGTTCATCCAGATGTTGTGATCTAGAAGAGAGCAGAAGTATAAGCATTCATTATGTCCGGACTGATGTATCAAAAGTCCATCAGTCTGTGGAGAGCAGAAATGGCGTGCAAGACTTCTTCTAGGAAACTGAAAAAAATGGAATATAAACATTTATCATTAATCAGAGTACTCGAGAACGGGACGTTTATTTTGAATGTCTTATGAGATGACAAGTCTGAAGCTTTTGAGCGAGTGTACCTGACGCTCTCATACTCCTTGGTATGAAAATCAATGTTAGCTGTCAAAACCTCTGTAACAATTTCTTGTACCTGTGGGCAGTCATTAATTTGAAAAACGAAAAAAGAATGTTTCAGCAAGTACGTTCCGAGCCAAGAAGCAACTGATGGAGCTGGTTAGTCAATGGTCGTGTCCGCCTCCACCGCGACCATCGGCCGTATTTTTGGAAGGAGTGTAAGACTGCATCGGGGCCTCTATATATTTCAAGTACATGGTCGCTTCACCTCTCAGTGACTAATTGTATTTATAAGCTGCTGCTTAGTTAACATCATCACCAGAAAACACAATCGTGTCCTTGGTACCGAGTCAAGGTGTGAACTGCTCATATGAGCCACAAAAACTTTTGGGTGTAAAGTGATCCAAGCTGATCCAAATAAATGTCGAGCAGTGCTGGAAAAAGTTCTTCTTGTAGAACGCAACAGAGACAATGACGTATGGAACGTTGACGACCTGAAGAGTCAGCTGAGCTGATGATCATGAACCAGCTGTAAGCGGATCCTAACAAGGAGGAGAGGAGGAATTTCAAAAAAAGAATGTTAATACATAGTATACTGTGGATTTAGTAAGTATTGACCCTTGGGTGCAGAACAGATATCCGTAAAACTATGAGAAAATATGTTGAATGTTTTGCCACACTCAGGATGGCAATAGAGTGGCAATTGCCACCCTAGTTTGGAAATGAATTGGGCACTTTCTTCAATCCCATAAGATTTTCATAAGATTTCATACTTTGTTCTTTCCACTACCCAAATACACACCAAATTTGGAGCCAATCGTTACCGATCTTTTACCTTACACTAACAAAAATCTCTAGAAAAATGCTTGCCACAATCTTCACTCACAGTTTTTTCACAATACTCTGCACTATGCTCCTCCAGCCATTCTCAGTCTATACACCAATAGAAGTCATGTCATTAAAATGGAAAGCGATTTGATTTAGAAGATGACGCGTGAGCAAGACATTGTTTTTACGCGCTCGTGTAGCAACTAATTAAGGGATGCGTATGTAATATGAACACATGCATTTACAATTCCCCGCCCCCCTCCCAACCCTCCCCCCATCTCCTTTGGCTTTTTTTCCTGAAACGGTTTCCATTGGCATCTCTCGTGCCGGACCCTGCGTGAGGCTGAAATTCGAGTCTGCTCCGGTAGTACTCACAAAATCGATGTCAGTCACCATCCCAAACCTGGCAAAATGCGAAGTTTGATTAGCTTAGCATGACATTCAACAGAGTACCCCAATATAACTCCCATTCTTTCCTCCGATAACAAACTCCATCTTTGATGGTGGATAGTGAAAAGGAGGGAACTTGGGCTGATGATGATGCAGCAGTCAGAACTCTGTCTAACTGTGATATTTGTTGAGCTTCACAATTTTTAGATACTACATGTCAGTGTGCATGTAATTGCATCCGCATCACAATTTTCTCGGTGCTGTCGATTGGAAAGAGTGCTTCAATGTTGTGGTTCTCAAAAAGACGTTGAAAGCCTAGTATTAGGTCGTTCCGAAGACAATGTCGCTTTTTTCAAATAAACGCAACATTTCATGGAATCAAGATTTTCAAGAGATCTTAGGAGCATGATGCAGCATTTCATCCTATTTCTAGAGGTTGTAAGTTCAATGGATAATATCCAATGAGCTCTCGAAAAATTATCAAAATCTGCGACTCATGCTTTTTGCCAAGGTCAAGTTCGGCTATTTTTCTAAATTTTTGTATCTATTCTCCCCAAAGAAGTACAAGTGACATATATATAGAGCAAACCCTATAGGTCCCAGAGTAATTTTTTTCTTTCTCTTAGCTTGCTTCTTAAAGTTTCTGGAATCAATTTTTCAATGCTATCAAATTCCATATTTGGTCAACTCAAACCTCACAGAGCAAGAATCGGCAAGCAATTAAAGAATCATTCAACGCAGCTATTTCTCCTCTTTCTAGAAGTGTTTTTTGTTTCCGATTCACCAAGTTTTCCGGGATAAAATTATCATAATTTCCAGGTTTTCCAGGGCGCCCCAGACTGTACCCGGAATTTTCGAAAGTTGCTAATCTGAAGTGGTGAATGCTCATTTGGTTTGTAAAATTAGTCGAACCATAATTCCTTGTAAGTTGCAAAATCCGAAGATTTGTTAGTGTTTGATGCGTTTGTGTCTGAGACGAGCCTGCTAAAAATCGGTGGTTCCATCAAAAAATCTATAAAAAAATTATGACGAGCTCTGGAAGGCAGAAAAAGTTGTGCTGTTTTCTGTAGGGTTTGCTCTATCCATCCATTACTTGGACTCCTTCCGAGGGTTGTTATAAAAATTTAGAAAAAGTGTGAAACTTGATCTTATCAAAAAGCATGGGTCGTAGATTTTGATAATTTGTCGAGAGGTTATCGTATTTTGTGCAGTGGTTATATAACCATTAGAAAGAGAATGAGCTGCATCAAAGGCTACCACAACCTCTTACATGTCTTTGCTCCAGGAGATGTGGCGTGCGTCTGAAAAAATTACTTTCGGAACGACTTGATAATTCGAGCTCGTCCCCGGACATAGTGCTCGCGATATTCCCGGCAAGACAACTGCAACAACATCACTGCATGCCGCTCAACTTGCATTGCAGTTGTGATAGTTAGTCGCCATTAGTCGGGCCAGAAAACAATCACAAATGAAATGCAAGATGATCGGCATGCGATGGACTCGTAATACGTAGTAGTTTTGAGAATAGCAGGCGATGAAATCTCCAGCACTATGCCCGAGGTCTTATAGTTCATTCCTAAAATCGTGACAACGGGTTGACTGCGATCTTTGCGCACACAGGAGCATAAACACCCATACAAACAGGCATCAACTTAACGTTCACACAGTGGCTTCCAGTTCTAAGTACTATCACATGTAAGCAGAAAACCACCCGAGTAGAGATAGAAACCAAAAAATGGAAGTGCGTGTGTCACTCACGGTCGCGCCATCGTCACGAATTTTCCAATGCCCTTATACAGAACTAGTTGACTTACCCGGCTCCGCCCGGCCCTGTCATTATTACATTCGTAATCAGCATGCTCGATTACCCCCCTGTGCCAACTCCCAGCCCCGTAGCTCAAATTTTGCAAAAAAATCGATAAAATCGATATCGATCGATGACGAAAAGTGGCCTATGACACCCGCCGGGGCCCGATGTATATGTGTGCCAAGTTTGGTCCGGATCGGTTCAGAAATGGAATTTTCTATTCGGAACATACGCACAGACATACAGACAGACATACAGACAGACAAATAGACATTCAGCTTTATATATAAGATTGCATAGCAAGTCTAAAATAGTAGGTAAAGGTTTCAGAAATCGTTTTGATTATGTAGACTACTTCGCTCGCGCCTTACGGAGTTTTTCATGCACTCATAGTTTGATTGTAATTCTCCAGAACTTGTACTGAGATAATGACATAACTAGAAACTCAACCGCGTGATTCCTCGACGGCTGAATACGCGGAAATGCATTTTGAATTCAAAAAGAATGGATGGCTTAATAGGTAGCTATGTTTGCATTCGTATTGTATAATACCCCTCCCCCCATCCCCTATTTTGAATTAAGGCCCCTTGGTACATCATCACAGAAGAAAAATCCCTGCAAAAATCCCATGCAAGTCTCCACCGTCCAAGCTTTTCTTGTAAAGAGGCGGGTTTTGCATTAACCAAAAACATCATAACCTACATAATATGTAGGAAAGATATTTACGACTTTACTCTGTCTAGAGTATATTTAAAGCTTTGTTGTTTGCACATCGCTGTGAGATGCTGATAACATCTCAAGTTTTCCAGCTTGAAGGCCGGGTAAAAAGTCGATTTTGAGATTTCGTGATTACTTGGGCCTATTCGCTCGGCAGAATCCGAAAGTCCACACTGGAGAGAGCGAAAACGGCGAAAATGGGCTCTAACGCAAAGGGAATTCAGCCGGGTGGGCGGGGCTCTCTTGTGAAGTCACCTCCCACCCTCAGGAGCGATCTTCTCACAATTGTCAGTTCCGGTTGTAAGTCACGCTTTCGCATTTGACGTGGGAATGATAGGATATTCTCGGCTGGGAAATCCATCCCCAAACGCTTCAAGTTTGTGTCGTAACCGTAACTCACGTGACTAAAGACGGGTCCCAGTGTGAACGAGTACTAATCGAACGAAAGTCAGTTGGTTACGGTCATGGCGCAGGGCTTGAGGGTGGGAGAGGAACGAACTCCGCCAGTTTTGAGCCGTCTCCGCGGCAGCTGGTCCTTTTGCAATGTTGTTGCCGTCGTTGCAGGACCAGTAGTTCGCAGAAGCGGTTCAAAATGGCAGAGTTCGTTTGCACATTTCCTCTTGAGGATTGGAGTTGGCATCCCAGCCGTGAAGCCATGTGAAATCCCCATGAGTCCAGATCTGCCTGGACGTCTTTAAGAGGTGCGCTGAGTTGAAAGGTGTCAGGCCTTGTCCAAACAAGTGGAAAAAAAGTTCATTTTAAAACATTGCAAGATCGCATGACAATGGTTCAGGGCTCTGTGCTCACTTCACTCTGGATCGTACCGAATATATCGTCGGAAGTTTCTTCATTACTTCTTCGACCTGAATGTCAAGGTTATAGATGGAACTATGAAAGCACGTTGAAATGTGAGCGCCCACCTCAAGTGGAGTTTTATTCTTTGTCTCAGGTAACTTGAAGTATAGGAATACTATCGAAGCAATTACAGGGGCAACAAATAGAATTAGATAGGACCATGCATCGCCGATCTTGTTCCTCATCGGCAAAAAAGTTGTGATGATCATGAAACGACTTAAAAAATATGTGTCATTTGTAAGAATACCGCCTGAATGAGGTGAACAAAATCTGATCTTGTCACGAGAAGTCATCGTAGTCACAAATCAAACTATATCGAATGCTGCGCTTCTTCCTAGCAAAATGTTCAAACTCTATCATAACTCATCATCTATCATACGTAACAAAATATTATTTCAAGTTCCTGTCTCTCAAAATATCGTGGAATGATTCGACGTGCGGTTTGTGAGCGGCTTTATGTCGATCTTTGCTTCAGTGGTCTCTCTTCAATTAACTTATGCTGAAGGCTCCCGCCGGAGTGCCGAAGTTATGCCAGCGCTACGCCAGCATTTCGAACGATACACGTGTATTTCGTTGGGGACGTCAGCTAGCCCCGCCCCAACGAAATACACGTGTATCGATCGAAATGCTGGCGTAGCGCTGGCATAACTTCGGCACTCTGGCGGGAGCCGAAAGTCCGCCTAATGAACGAGAGCGCGGTTTTCCTGCGAGGAATGTACAGTTAGTCGAAGTGACCGATTAAAATAGTTCGCCCTCAAGCTTACAAGGGAATGGTCAGAAGTCGAAGTGGCCAATCCATACAAGCTGCATACCATTCGATGCAGCATAGAATGCTGATTTCAAATCTGTCTTCTATATCTGCAGAGCGCCTTTGTAGACGAAGTTATGAGCAGCTTTACTGCGAAAAAACCGTATACAAAATTTGCGAAATTAGGCACATTATTGCTCTTTCAGCTCACCTCTAGGTACGATTCACATGAAGTGACCAGTTGCATGTATTGGTCCCACACTGAGACGAGAATGGCTTAGTATAGTCAAGTTTACACTTTACACGCACAATTTTCTTAGCAAAATTATGGCCTTCAATGGCTTATATTTTCGTCCACAGTAGCGCTCTGCAGATAAGGAAGATATATTTAGAGTCAGCGTTTTATGCTGCATCTAATGGTATGCAGCTTGTATGGATTGGCCACTTCGACTTCTGACCATTCCCTTGTTAGGAACAACGCTAATCACAAATCTGGTATCTGCTTCTGTGAAATATGCGCGAGGGTTCGCACTGCATATTTAGCTGTAAAAAGGCGCTCCGCACACATGGACACAGTTTTGAGAGCCCTGATCCCTGATTTCAGCGATGTAGTTTCCACCTAGATGGTCACATCGAACATTTATTTGCCTTGTTAGTATGATTTCAACGTGTGCAGACGCTACTTCATGGTTATTTATATCCTGAGCTCACCTTAGCATCTGAACAACGCTAGCCCAGCTTTGCGCTCCGCTTCGTGCTGCTTGCCCAACAAGTTCGGCATTAATGAAATAACATAGTGGGCCAGGTCCAATAGCGAAGAATATGATGAAAAGGCAAATAACAAATATTAGGATGAAACCCAAAATGTTGTGCTGAACAGATTATTAGAGAGCGGCCTCTCAACCAAGTTCACAGCAAACTTACACCATATTTGTCAAATGTGAACATTAATGAAAAGATGAGGAAATTGCAGAGTAAGCAGCCGGTGAAAGCTACTAAAAGCAGTGGACGACGACCAAACTTGTCTATAACCGTTGAAGAGATCACGATTGCAATCTGAATGTATTAGGGGTTGGGAAGACAGAACAGTCTGAGTTGATGAGAAGAACGAACCATGCTAACAACTGCGATTGTGACGTTGGCAAGAGATGCTTGCAATGAAGTCAAACCAGTGCTTCTCAGAATTTCAACCGCATAAGCATTGATTACTGGAAATTTGTCTCATGAGATACTTGCTACTTGAAGGCAGTGTTCGCACCCGGGCATTCTGACCGAGAACTGAAGCTGCGCTAGAGTTCGTAGACACCAGGCCACGTCTTCGTGAAAGGCATGATGTCCAGGGCGGGGGAGGATGTCGGTGGGCAGTAGGCACGGCACTGCTCACAATTCGTCAAAAAAGTCACCGCAGTCCAGCGGAGTGCGCCATAGTGCGCTGCAGTGCGCGGAGTGCGCTGGAGTGCGCCGGAATCCGCGTCGCATCGCCATATCTCGCTTCAAAATAGACATTTCTGAATCCAAGAACACCGTTCGATTCAGCTCGGCGAGACGCATCATCTGGTATATAGACGTGCCACAATCTGTTGGGGGTAGGTATACGGTAGACAGTAGGTTTCCGCCTAATTTTGCAGATTTTTGTGTGGTTGGATTGGCCAGTATGCTGTTAACAATATTGCCATTGTTCTGCTGATGGCACGTTGTAGGGATACTGTAGGAGTACGGTAAAGAGTCATTCTGATGGATTTGTTCTAAAATCAGCTTGAGGTACAATGGAACTCACCGCCTATGCAAAATTTCCGTGAACGTCGCGGAATTCCGAGAATTTCGCGGAAGTCCGCGACTGCTCGGAATTCCGCGACATTTCAGGAATTACGCGAAATCACGGGAATCACGCAAACTACGCATCACAGCTTTCTTCGGAATGAATATATTCCGAATCCGCAAACAGCATTGTGTTCAGCTCATCCAGGCAAATCTTTTAATGCACAACATGTCCTCGATATTCCCTTTCCAATTTAAATTCTTCTGCGGTCTTTTCACACACAACAAAACACAACAACAACAACAACAGTGCTGTAACGCAGCGCTTACCAACATAAATGATTCCAGTAAGTACTATTCGATAGTAGTGTTCTTTTTGGTTATCGTGTATTGACTAGTACCGCAGACTTGTTTCCAAAAAAGATAGAAAGTTGGTGAATTCTGAAAAATCGAGCGTTTCCAAATTCTGCTCGCCGTAACTTCCTTCGGGATAATGTATTCCGAATCAGAAAAAAAGAGTCTTTCTATAGACAGCATGTCTTTGATATTCTGATTTCAGCATTCTTGAACTGCGGACGATCTGTAGCAAGGATCGTTTGATAGCATTTCTTCTGTTGACTATAATAAAGGATAAAGGATAAAGGATTCGGCGTCTTCAATACCCTCTGCGGGCATGTGCCAAACGCACACTACTTCATAATCGAAGAGGCAATTGTATACGTGCGAGCCACTACTTAAGGGGCCTGCCATTCACCAAGGCAGTGCTTTTATCCTCCCAGAATTACTCTGGTACCAATTTACCGGCCCCGGAGGGTAGAGGGATTGTTTGGCCCGGATGCGGGGGTCGAACCTGCTTCCGATCTGGCCATAGCAGCGCCTCATACCACTACGCCACTCGTCCCACTCTGTCGAATATGGATCTCCAAAAAGTAGCGTAGGCCCCTCAAAGTAAATGGAAGGGCTGGTGAACTGTGGAAAAATCTTGTTCGTCCCAAATTCTACTCGTTATAACCCCAGAATATGAAGCTATCTTGCTAAGCGGATATGAATTTCGTTATCAGCATGTCAGATAATCCTTATGACCAAGTTTTCAGAGAACTTCGAAATATTTGGTTTGAAGCTCATAGAGGTTTCCGAACACGCTGTTCATGGAAACCGTGGGCTCTGTCAAGTACAGGGTCTTTTTGGAGAGACTTAGTGAGGTAACTGTAACGGCGCACTCACGAAAGCTCGTAATTTCGCCTGCACCTATCGCGTACCTCTCAAAAAACTTGCCTGCTTTTCCCCTTTCTTTCAAATGTTAAATACACACCAGTAACTGTGCTATCGAATGGTGCATGACTCAGGCTCTAGTGTATTTCGCCGAGTTACGAGCCTACGAACACGGGCCCTCATGCATTTTGCCCAAAATGTAAAAGTCGTGCACTTCGTCGAAATTCCACCGCGAGCGGCTGTATAACATGGCGATTGAACTTTCCCACATCGTTTAATGGATTTTATTGTTTGATTTAGCAATTATGGATAGATAGTGTTCGCAGCTCGCAACTCGGCGATTGTTACAGGATGGAGTCGAGGCATGCACCATTCGATAACACACCTCCTGATGTATGTTTAATTTTCAAAAGAAAGAGGAAAAGCAAGAAAGTTTTCTGAGAGGTATGCGATGGGTGCACGCAAAATTACGAACTTTCGTGACTCCGTTACAGTTACCTCACCAAATCACTGCAAAAAGATCCTCTACTTAACAGAGCCCACGATTTTCATGGATAGTGTGTTCGAAAACCCTGCATGAGCTTCAAATCGAATAACCCGAAGTTCCCTGAAAACTTGCTCATAGGGGTTATCTTATCTGCTGATTACGAAATTCGCATCTGCTTAGCAAGATAGCTTCGTATTTTGGGGTTATAACGAGTAGAATTTGGGCGACAAAATTTTTCCACAATTCACCAGCCCCTCTATTTACTTTGGAAAGGGGCCTACGGCCACTTTCTGGCGCTACATAGTCTACAGAAGAAGCGCTATCGAACGGTCTTTGCAGGAGTCTACTAGGGGTAATGCGCGCTGCTTTGCCCCTTTGCGGGGAGACGTCAGCAAAAAAATTCAAGAATGTCTGAAATCACAATATTAAAGACATGCCGTCTATAGAAAGATTCGCCTTAGCTAAGCACAACGCTTTTTTCTAATTCGAAATTTTTTATTTCGATGGAAGTTACGGCGAGTGGAATTTGAAAACGCGTGATTTTTCTAAAACTCACCAATCCTATCTTTTTTGGAAAGAAGTCTGCGGCTACTGCTTAACACACCATAACCAACAATAACACTACTATCGAATAGTACTTAATGGAATCTTTTATGTTGTAAGCGCTGCGTTATCTATGCGAAAAGACCGCAAAAGAATTCAACCTAGAAACGGAATATCGAGGACATACTGAACATCAAAAGATTTGCCTGGACGAGCTGAACACAATGCTGTTTGCGGATTCAGAATATATTCATTCCGAAGGAAGTGGTGATGCGTAGTTTGCGTGATATCCGTGATTTTACGGATTTCTGAAATGTCGCGGAATTCCGGGATAGTCGCGGAGTTTCGCGGAATTTCCGGAAATCCGCGACGTTCACGGAAATTTTGCATAGTCGGTGAGTTCCATTGTACCTCAAGCTGATTTTGGAACAAATCCATCAGAATGACTCTTTACCGTACTCCTACAGCCCTACAACGTGCCATCAGCAGAACAATGGCAATATTGTTAACAGCATACTGGACAATCCAACCACACAAAAATCTGCAAAATTAGGCGGAAACCTACTGTCTACCGCATACCTACCCCCAACAGATTGTGGCACGTCTATATACCAGATGATGCGCCTCAACGAGCTGAATCTGATGTTCTTGGATTCAGAAATGTCTATTTTGAAGCGAGATATGGCGATGCGACGCGGATTCCGGCGCACTCCAGCGCACTCCGGCGCACTGCAGCGCACTATGGCGCACTCCGCTGGACTGCGAATACTTTTTTGAAGAATTATGAGCATTGTACCTACGCCTTAGCGGAGATCTTTTGCTTCAAGCTCTTATTGTCACGTTAGAGCGAACAGTAGCGTCAAAGCGTGAGGAGACCAAATTAGCTTTCTCGATTTTTTGCAAACTCCGATGAGGTTGCAGGTTGGACAGAAATTAAATAAGCACGCTCTCGACACCTAATCTTGAAGCTGTCAGTTTTGTAAACAATGCTCGTGGTGTGCTCCGGATTCTTAGGATGCCTCTAAGTAGAAGGGGTGAACAGCTATGTGATAGAGGAGGTAGGTCAGAATGCGTATCTACTGCACAACTTCTCGCCAGAAATCTTTCTAAGCTTTCATGTCTCGACTCGATTCTCACTTTAGACCATCTTGCTCTATTGCGTCAGCAATCGGAACGACCACTTAGTGTTTTATCACACATTGCTAGCATGGCTTTCAGAACCGCGGAGTTATTTTTCCTTTTTTTTTAACTAAAGCTATGCACTCGCCTGATACGCCACTGAAGGACATGGCAAACGTCACAACAACACCAATCAGTGCCTTTTTTCTCAGTGACTTTTTCCTCATGATATCCATCATGGTAAATATCTTCGTATGCTGCTTCTGCTCTTCCTAAAATTCGATTCAGTTAGACTCAAAGAAGAATATTGACTCACCTTGATATGCATTAAGTGTTTTTCCGCTTCACTTGCGCTGCACTTATGATAGAACATAAGTGATCTCTTTGCCGCTTCTTGTGCTCCACGTTGAACAAGAAATCTAGGAAAAGTCTCACTAATCCAAATAAGAGGTTCAACAAGTAATACCTGACCATCAGACATCAAATATTTATATTCCCACCAAAAAAAATTTGAAGCAGCGAGCCAACACCTACCTCAGAAAATTCGTTCTGTACCTGCCGCATATCAGCGCAGTGCGAAGTTAATGTTGGGTGCCAGTGGTGGTATAGCTAACGCGATCTGGTTTCATAAAAAACCCCAGCCAAAAGCAGAAAGCGAGGTGCACAAGGCCGTTTTCCCCATAACTTTTAAGAATAACTCCCAATGACCAGGTACATTTCTCGTTCGCAAAACACTTACCCTGGCGTTTCTGGAAGAAAGGGAAGAAAAACAGAGAAAGCTAGAATAATTGCTATTTCTGCGATGTAAATCAGAAACCTAAAGTTGGCTTTATCGTCGTCTCCAAAACTGTTATTCGTTCTTACCAACAATCGACTGTGCCGAAAATTTGTGGCATGGCGAGGATGGAGCCTACCACTGTTCCAAACTGTACGCATGCTCCAGTAATCATCCCAATAGAACCTCGGCATCCCTTTGGGCTTTAAACACTTGTGATTGGTGCTCGGGGTTGCCAGTGAAACTAAGTTAGAGCAGACCTTGTTTCCGTAAGAAATAGAGCAGCAATACCCAGACTAAGGCTAACGGCGTAGCCCATTGTCACACGAGACATTGCGTATAGAATAAAGCTGGGAATCTAAAACTGCGAAGGCTTGAGAATGTACCTTCCTGCGCCTGATTGTGAGTAGTGACTGGTCTAGCTAGTGTCGGACAGCTCAGCATTTGTGTGTCGAAACTGCGATGCTTTCTCGCGTTTCGTAAGAATTTTACTACCATACGAAACGTCATTCTCAAGACTTACAAAGGAAGGATGGTTAATCATAGTGACTTTCAAGATGGGATGTATACATCTTGGAGAGCATGATAACTGTTTCCAAATCTGTCTTCTTTATCTGGGAAGCATCTCTGGACGAGGAGTTGTGAGCTTTGTTGGAGCAAAATTGAATGCGCATCTGGGATAAAATCACTTGCTGACACTTCACAGCGCTTGAAAGAGGCAGCTATTTGAGGAAATATTTCATGTATATGAGAGTATTTAGCATTAATCCTAGTTAGCCAGGAGAACCTCGGGTCATTGTGGCCTTTTCACAATTCCATGAGATGGACATACAGTCGAGCAGATTTTCCGCTCCATGTAGTATGCTTGCACAGAAGGTGAAATATGGTGAAATTTGCGCGTGAACACATAGCCACACCAGTACTGCCGGCATTTTGCGCGCGCAATTGGCCGGCATCACAGTCGAAGCTATTTCTTCACGTGCAAATTTCACTGCATTTCACCTTCTGTGCAAGCACACTATATTAAGCGGAAAATCTACTCGACTGTACAATTACTCGTCTCGAAACGATGATTTCAATTCTATGTTCGTGAAATGCAGATCGATTTTCTGAATAAAGTTAAACTTTTTTTTCAATAAAATTTGTTTGGTACCAGGCAGTGAAACCAGCGCTGGCCAGTTCGCCTACTTTATGCTATGGAGCAACATCAGTGATGATCCGCCATTGTATTTAGAGTGAACAAGAAACACACACGTTAAGTAACATCTAAGTTAGGATGCGTTAAGTCATAAAGTTATATGCGGTCTTCAGGGAGAGAATCTTATATATAAAGCTGAATGTCTGTTTGTCTGTCTGTATGTCTGTATGTCTGTCTGTCTGTCTGTGTGTACGTATGTTCCGAATAGAAAATTCCATTTCTGAACCGATCCGGACCAAACTTGGCACACATACACTACGGGCCCCGGCGGGTGTCATAGGCTACTTTTCGTCATCGATCGATATCGATTTTATCGATTTTTATCGATTTTTTTGCTGAGTTCACCTACGGGGCTGGGAGTTGGCACAGGGGGGTAATCGAGCATGGGGATTCCGAATACAATATTGGTTTTCAGGATTATCGATTACTTTTATCGATTTTATCGATTTTTTTGCAAAGTTTGAGCTACGGGGCTGGGAGTTGGCACAGGGGGGTAATCGAGCATGGGGATTCCGAATACAATATTGGTTTTCAGGATTATCGATTACTTTTATCGATTTTATCGATTTTTTTTGCAAAGTTTGAGCTACGGGGCTGGGAGTTCGCACAGGGGGGTAATCGAGCATGGGGATTCCGAATACAATATTGGTTTTCAGGATTATCGATTACTTTTATCGATTTTATCGATTTTTTTGCAAAGTTTGAGCTAGGGGGCTGGGAGTTGGCACAGGGGGGTAATCGAGCATGCTGATCATCCCCAAGGGGGGTGATCAGCATGCTCGAACACCCCTGTGCCAAATTCCAGCCCCCTAGCTCAAATTTTCAAAAAATCGATAAAATCGATAAAAGTAATGGACGATCTTGAAAACTAATATTGTATTCGTAATCTGCATGCTCGATTACCCTCTGTGCAAAATCCCAGCCTCGCATGTCAAAATTTACAAAAAATCGATAAAATCAATAAAAGTAATCGATAATTCTGAAAACTAATATTGTATTCGGAATCCCCATGCTCACTTCCCCCCCTGTGCCAACTCCTAGCCCTGTAGGTGAACCCTGCAAAAAATCGATAAAAATCGGTAAAATCGACATCGATCGATAACGAAAAGTGGACTGTGACACCCGCCGGGGCCCGAAGTGTATGTGTGCCAAGTTTGGTCCGGATACGGCGGAGCCGGGTAAGCCAGCTAGTTCTTAATAAGACATGGGCAGTCGGCGCATAACATGCTAGAGCATACAGGGTGTCCCAAAAAAATGTGCACACTGTTTGAATGTCAGTAACTCGCTTGTTCGACGTCTCTCGCTGATCTGGTACCATTAGGTTCAACTTAGATTTACAGTATGAAGCAAAACTCCAATCTCATTTTGTTGTTGTAGGATTACGGTATGGATTTTGTTGTGGGATTACAGTATGAATTTCAGCACACAGCGCCACTGTGAATTAGACCGTTCGAAAAAAAAATTCCGAAAAACTTTGAAAATTTGTGTAGCAAGGCTTTTGAGCATGCTGTTTCATTATGCGACTTTTTACAAAAATTCTGAGCCTTTTCAGAGCTATAGTCACATTTTTGGAGAGCACTGGAAGAGCAGCTGTTACTGTTTTCCTGAATTAACTTTTGAAGGAAGCATGAATGTGATGTGCAAATTGCATATCTATAATCAGCGACTCCAATTAGCTTAGTATAAAAGTGTTTGGCCTGTTTGGGTTCCTTTCCTGGGCGAAATGCGACTCTTATTGCTTGAAACCCTCTTCAAAGTTCTTACCGTATTCCTACAGTAACGAAGAGAGATCGGAGTTTTGCTTCATACCGTAAATCTGACTTGAAGCGAGATCTACAGAGTGGTGCCTAAAGATTGACGAGAGACATCGGACCAAGTGAATTAAACGATCAAGCAGCGTGCATATTTTTTTGGGAAACCTTGTATATGACGAAGAAACTCCTTCAAGTAATTGATGCATGTGCATAGTGTTACGCAATGTAACTGCACGAAGAAGCCAAAGAATTTTCAACCTCGTACAGAATCTGACGTTTCAGCTCGCAAACTAACAGCTGGACGCTAAACTTACAAATTTTGAGACAGCAGACATTGACGCAGAAAGAATAGCAATGAAAATGGGCACATAGAGTCCGGCTTTCCTTCCAACTTTATCAGCTACCAAACGGATGGAAAACGACCCAGCTAAGGCTCCTAGGAAGATAATAGCGACAACGAAACTCCAGACATTCTGTAAATCGTGAAAATAGTGAACTTTCCGAACGAATCTTGTATCCTTACGTCTAATGTGGCATCAGAACTGTCGGACAACGTTGTCCCAAGTGTGGTATTTAGAAACTGAATGAACGCAGCCTGCGACGGATTTGTGATGACTAGTTGATACCCAAAGTGGAATGAGCCGCTGAGAGAGACGGCTAGTGCCACCATAACCATTCGCAGGCTTGGTTTTCGTTTCATACCCTGAAAGACTCATGGCTCGCTGCAGTAGATTAAGCATATATTTGCCACGGATGTGTACGAGATGTTTAAACGGTTCTCACTCTCGAATAATGCGACGGTAAAGTTGTTCGCAGCTGGTACTCATCAGTTCTCCGACTCTTACCTGGTTATACATCATGCCGAAGGGTTGCTCTATAGCCTTTTTCCATAAGCGAGGCACGGCAAAATTTCCGCGCAAATGTCGCCATAATAAGAGTGCTACATTAGTCCCTAAGGGGTGGATGACTATGTGTAGCGAAAAGGGGGGTCTCCTGCGCACATGCAACAAATGCGCACCTCTTGAACATGTAAATGCGCAATAGTTGCAGATGTCCGCAGGGGATCTCTCCTTTTGGCAACATTTGGTCATTTAGCCACATCTGAGCTATAAGTTTGGATCGAATCCATGTGGTAAGTCGTGCACGTATCAGTATCGTACTGTAAGGCGGTCATAAGCTGGAGAATACAATATCAGTTTATAAATAGGACGGCACGAGGAATGTGTTCATTTTCCGCCAATCATTAAGATTTTGGTTTCTATGAAAAGGTTAAACTGCTCTGGGCAGAGGTCATTGACCTCAAACCTTTCTAAAAATAATTCACGTAAAAATTGGGCAACTATGAAATAACGTTGCCATCTTTTTCGCACTGGAAAAAAGCGGAAACATGTTTCTTTTGCGTCGATAGCGAACCACCTTTTGAAGTTAAACCAAAGAATCCTTCTTTCTGTAGACCTTGTCTACAGAGCGTTATTCTTCGCACCCTTGAGTCACTGGTCCCAACTTTAGATCCGCTTCAAAAACATCTCAAACCAATGGTTTATTAATGTTATGAACTAGTTTGGCACGAAATACATGTTTGCAAGCTTACTGTAGAAGTAGGCTTGCATACATGTTCTGTCAGGCTACTAGTAGTACTATTAGTAGCCAGAACAGTACTCATCCTTCTTTTTTCTCAATGGAAAATTCATATCTTCGAAAGATGATGCAATGGAGGTCGGTCGTAACTACTGATCCATACGAACTTTACTCATCAGAGCATACTGTAACTTTCAGAGTATTTTATGGATATACATACTAAAAAGTGGAACACCTTTAGATCAAGATGTCTCTCACTATCAAAAAAAAACCGAATATCCGCTTTTTCTGGCACAAAGATTTTCACGTTTCTCTTGTTCTGTAAGTTGCGTCCGAGTGAGAACTCAAACCATTGGTAAGTTCCTCATTTTTAGATGTTTGACAGCAATCATGAGAAGAATGTTAACCCTACCTGAGCTCAAATCCCGCTGTTAAATCTCATTTGCAATGTTTTTATATTGTTATTTATTGTTTATTTTTTTGTTTTTTGATTTTTATATTGTTGTTTATTGTTTTTATATTTTTATTTGTTTTAATTTGACTTTGGATTCCTATTTTTGCCGAAATTTTTTGCTATAATTCTGAGGCTTCCTTGGGAGCTACTGAGAGGGGCACAAAGGAAGCTGCACTACCGGTATAGTTCTTAGCCCCGAAACCGACTAGTGTTCAAAAACTCGGAAAAAATTCTAAGACTCTTTTGTATGTGTCTAGCATTTTATCTATCAAATGCACAAAAAATTCTTGTTATAGGCTCGCACTGTGCACTTTTTGGCATATTCCTAAAAGCTGCACATCCTTGCTTGATGAGGCAACTCCAAGTGCAACCTTCCTGCGCTTTCTTTCGTTTCTAGGTGCCAAACATCGAAAACAGTATTGTGAACTGTTAGGTGGTAGCCTTTTAAAGGTTTTGGTAAGGGCCATGCTAATTATTTCTACTTGATTTTAAATTTTGAATGATTTCCGCTACGACTCCGCTACATGCTAAGGTGCAAAACCATATTTCCGCTTTACTGACTTTCGTCCTTGCTTACAAGAAAGGTGTTGAGGTTGTGAGGGTTCAATGCTGCGGCGAGGTCAATGTCAACACAACAGAGAAGAATATAATCTCTCTTCATTGAGAGTGCCAGTAAGCATTTAGATGTTGGGGAAAACGCACTTCCGTATCAGCTAAACAGCTGCAAAAATTTGCACTCAAATAGAGTACGAATTTACTCGAGCAAGAGAAAAGGCGTGTTTGCTTTAACACGTTGACGACAACGTGCATTTTTAGCTATCTGCCTTGTGGGACAGTCCCATTTACAGTAAGTTGAGTATTTTCGGCTGAAATCAAACGGGCCGTCACGTCAATGTGTTGAAAACGCTACGGCTCAAGCATATTCTTCTGTTTAATTTTCAGCTTCCAATGGTTTTCAAAAATTTTGCGCTTTCTTTAACAAATCTAGCGAAAGCGAGACCACTTCCAGCTCTTGACGCTAGGCTGGCATACCACTCTGTCATACTGGATGAAATTATAGTCGAGCGATTAAGGCATTTGTTGAAGTGGATCTTTAGTTTCCAACACTGTTATCCAAACTTTAGCGCAAATCAATTATGACATGAATACCATCCAAGTATTACTACGGCCTCTACTGGAGGATTGAAATCTTTAAAACCCCCAAAAATCTTTTTACTCACAAGCAAATCACAATTTGTACTTTGTTGCTACGAATGACAAAATATGTTCAAAATGATGCATATACAAGACACAACTACGAAATAGATCTATTCTTTATAATTATCTAGCGGTGCAATTAGCATCGAACAGTCTTTTATGTTGAATAAACAAAGCATAAGTTCTGAAAGGCGTCAAAGTAGTACATGTGTAGTCAAAAAGGTCACCGAACTCTGCTTGAGTTCACCGAAATCTGGCATCGCCATATCTTAGTTTAAGTAGTCGGATTCTGAATTCTTCTGGATACGGTAGATGGTCAGATTTCACGAATCTGTTTGGATTTTCGCCTGAAGTAGCCTATTCAGTGTGTTACGAATAGGCACACTAGGGTTACCCTTTATAAGAAATCTCAAAAATCCAAAAAGGTTTGTGAAATCTGACTACCTACGGTGCACTTACTGTATCTGAACGGGCACTTATACGTCAGAGGATGCGCCTAACCGAGCTGCTCGAACGATGCCTTTGGATTCAGAGGGGGTGGTGCAGAAGGAACCAAAGGGCTGCCGCCTGTATCCGCGCGAGATAATCAAGAGCGCGAGCGCTGTGGAGAATATTTTGGCAAGGATCAAGAAAACGTGGCGAGGACATCCTTTAGAAACAAATCGTCATTGTTTTGCCTGGAGATGACTTCGAAAAAATTGGAAAATAGATCTGCATGCAGATTGGAAGGCGCGTTCACTGAGCCTAAAAGTAAGTTAAAATTGGGCATCCTACTGTATAGAAAAGCTAACTCTCTTATAGGAACTTCTTGTTTTGTGAATTTTGAAGTCCTAAATTGTTGAAGAGGCATATTACTGAAAAATGCGCATTTCAATACTGATCCTAAATTTGTCCTTCGTATTTCTAAAAATAATTCCAAGAAGAGTTATGTGGCTTGTTTCCAATGGATGTCCTCGCCAAGTTTTCCTGGATTCTCTCCAATATCTTCCCCACACCGCTCGCGCTCCTAATTGTCCCTACGGTTACAGGCGCCATGCCTTTGGTCCCTCCTGCACAGTATCCGATTCAGAGCGCCCTTGAACCGAGACATGGCGATGCGACAAAAATTTGGTAAACTTTGGCAGTGTTCGAATGAATTTTGACTACTCATAAGCAATACAACGGTAGCGAGGTAACGTATACTAACGAGTTTGCATGCTTACCAAAAGTTGTGCAAAATTTTTCTGGGTAAGGAGAGAGTGTCACTATTTTATAACAAACAGGAATTGTAAAAATGCTCGACAACTAGTTAGAAGTGGTAGATTCAAAGTGGCTGCAATATCCATGCAACACATTCATGTAAAAAAAAAACAAAAATTATTACGGTGAGTGCGAAACTGCACTTAAACTGCACTCCAAGACTAATGCAAGAAGGCAAACTTAAGTACAATTGCTGCCCTGAAATGAGAAATTGGGAATAAATGTAAGTGAATTGAGGGCTTTTTTCACGAAAAGCATAAAAACACATGTAGGAGCAGAGGCTACCAGGACAAGTATTAGAAGAGGCCAGTCAACGGGCAGAATTCACCACGGGATTGTACAGTTTATGCAAATTTATGGGAAATCAGCGCGCTCACATGATTTCGTAGTACAGGTTAAACTGTTATACTCAAATGACTGTGAGGTATTGCGACAAAAGTATGGTTTAGTCAGTGACTAGAGATCAGTGCTAGAGGCTGTGATGGTTTCCTAAAATTTGGTAGTTCTAATTGATTGGTAGTCGTCACTAACCTCTTTTAGGAGTAGGTGCCGTTTGATTCTACACACTTTTACCTTTTGAGACATTTTTCTCTTCTGCCCTTCTCAAAAAGAGCCTGTGCTAAAGTGCAGTACTTGCGAAATAGTAACACATCGAGGTAGGAGTTGTTTGGTTGTACTTGATCAATTTCTGTGAATCCGTCTATGGCACTGCAAACATTCAAGTATTACACATACTCATCCTTACTGTTTTTTGAACATGTTTAAGTAGAAGAAGGCGTTCCACTGTCAAAGAGGTTAATAGATGTATTTTAACCACTTCTACCTTTTCTACTCCAACGTTGAGTTTACGTGAGTAAGTTTGTTTCAGAATTAACGCAGTCATCATCAGCGATTACTGCGTTAACAATTTCGCTTCGAAGTTATACGATCTCCAACTAGAGATATAGCCGACGGAACTTTCATGCTATCTCCATAACACTAAAGGTAAATAGCAGTTTCGCGCTGCGACAGTGACCTGTATTATTCTCCAAAGATACAGTGGTGAAGACGTGTATGTGAGCGATTGCTGCTATGATGAGCGACACTAATGAACCTTGCGTTTCTTTTTCAGTGAGTAGCAAAAAGACGAAGCCATCTCAACTCCTTCTGAAAGGCGGTGATGATAGTCCGCTGCCATTTCTACCAAGTTCAACATATCCTCCGCTTTGAGTTAATGTGCAGCATGTGGCTTTAACTTTTTCGAACGCCGCCTGTTCTGCTGAGCTTCCTTCCGGGCGGCCTCAGCCGTTAATGATGGCGTTCTCGAAGGCGGTTGCGAGAGCGCAGGATGCGCCGTTTCGCTTTGGGACTTTGAGCTCGCGAAAGTGGTTTTAGACATGAAAGGCTCCAGCAATAACGCAGGCGCGCACACTCTGCACACGGATGAGCGCTGGTGTCCGCGAGCCGCGGCGAGGATCTCGGATTGTTAAACTGTCAAGGGTGGTTGAGCGCGCAGCGAACGCGCGCCCCTGCCAGGTTTACAACGAAGTCTCGTCAGCTATCCCGAGCATCGTTTTTGAGCCTTGCCGATCACGTACCTCGTATGAGCTTTTCTTGTATCGATCGCTTCATCTCCATTACATCACATGACTTAGCTTGAGAGCTGCTCCGCTCTGACACTGACAACTAGTACTTCAGTTTATCGAATTGCAGACTCCATTTTCTGATTCGGTAGGTTGAGCAGCACTTGGTGCTCGATGACGCCAATGTTTTCTGTCGCACGATGTAAATTAGAGAATCGCTGGCGACTCTGTTTGAACACTTGAAACTTCGCCTGGACTGCTATGTGAACATTTGCATGTCTCTTTGGAAGCCGTTACGAATTCGGTTCACTGCAACCGGCCCACTGCAATTTTTGAGCTCTCAAGCTGTTTCTTCCGTCTCATCAACTTTGATCTTAATTCCTCAACTGCGTGCAAATCTTGAGTATCTCTCTTCGTATGCCAATGCTAGCAAAGCTGAGAACTCCTGTTGACACTGAACTCAAACACTAAGACAGGTGCAGCGAAAGAAATTAGAACTGTCTAGACTATGATTTCAGGTCAACTGCTTGCTTCCCTATTGCTCCAAACATTGAGCTCATCTAGCATCTCATTCCCTCTCAAATACTACCGAATCTTTGGCCATGCCGACTACTTTACTTTGCACCGCTGAAAACAAATTATTGTATCGCTGATAACTTCTTGCTCACATGCGATCGCTATAGCTCCTCGAGTGCTTTTAGTCTTGTGTAACGGTTTCACTCGATTTTTAGCACTTCGGTTGGAAGACTATACTTCCGCGTGCCTTGCAATAAATCTTGAAATTCGTATCTCGTGGGCAGAAATCACTGGTTCCCGTTTCTTTCCAATCATGGAATGACGTTAAATAGGGTAGAGTGATAATTCATTTCATGGTTTACTGCTCATTTGCGGGCATCATCAGTAGAGTCTTTCCGTAGCAAGCCTTCTTCGGAGAAAACTGGAAGAGAGATCACTCTATTGATACATCTTGATTCGAAGTGTGATAATACTGATGTTCATCGTGGGAAGAATGTTGTATGAATTGCGCCAGCTGCAGATGGGATGGAACTGAAATTTTGCACAAATTCATTAATCACCTCAGCGCGGTTCTTTCTTTGAAGCAGCTCTGAAGGCATAAATTTGATGACAGCACTTGAATATAGTCTAATTTCATTGACTGGTAGGCCGCGGAAGTGCAGTGCAAGATTGATTTTTCGGGTTTTGTGAACTGAATAAGATAATAATTTGATGGAATTTAGGAATCCACTATGAGAGATCTTTTCAAACCTAAGTTTTAACGCTTAGATATATTTCAAAGTCTTGATTTGTAAGGTGCTAAATATGAGAGCGATGAGTGTATTTTCCGATTTCATTCGGCTGAACCTTTCTGACAATGAGAACGCATTGACACAAACTGAGAAGAGAAGTCCACTGAGAGGAGGCGGTCTTTGGGGTCTTGGGGGTCTTTCGTATAAATGACTCTACATGTTTACCATAAAGATGCCCTCTAACTAGTGTGCTTTTTTTTTGGAAATTCTGAAGATCTTTTTCGTCAAGCTCAACGGTCCAAAACAATACTTGTACTCATCCTCGCGACGTGGAGATGAGTGTAAACGATTTTTGCATTGATGCAAATGCATGCTCAAATTACAACTTTTACTTTTAATCATTTGCCAATCAGATGATGCTCAATAATAGGGTAAAGCCCGTTATTGTCAGCTTCACAAATGGGACTTTCTCATAGTATCTTTTCAGAAAAACGAATTTATAATGCTCCTACCGTTGACATTCGTTCAGCCGATACTATCCAAGTTTCTTCAGCCGTTCGCCATTATGCACTGGGAGTTAGTAGCTGCTCTTTGCCAAGTCCCCAACTTTGGCAAAGAAAAATTACGACAAATGCGGCCTGCATTTTTAGATGACATGGTAGATGCCATTTGCTTCTCTTATTGGCAGCATATTGCCTTTCATTCCTGCTTGACAGATGAGAAGAAGATCACTGCAGTCAGAAAGGTATTTATGAGAGCCACTGAGTGAGTTTCGATCTGTCTCGATAAGATCCTTACTGACTTGCAAAAGGTTTTCCCTATGCTACGAGGGCACTAGACGGCAGAGTGAACTCTATTTCAAGTATTAATGGTGCATTGATACTTGAAATAAGCAACGTGTGCCAGTTGAAGCGTTTGTGACCTACAAAGTTCACCGAAACGTTGTTAGCTCGCAAGTATTTCCATCTTACAACTACTCTCTCCACAAAATCCTCACGAAATTGCTTTCGAAAATCTGAGTTGATTTAAGAAGAATGCTTCGACTAAGTATACATATTTTCACTCCGCCTTTTTATGAGAGCGGGGATTGCAAGTCAGTGAGCTTTTCTGAGCTCATGCACATGGAACAACCGAAAAGTGAACTGATTCGTTACAACGCAGCTTACGGAGATGGCAGACGAAAAGTATGATTATCAATGACAGCTGGATATTGACATTTGATAAAAACCGGATCGCTCTTCGCATCGCATCACTTAGCTGTAGTTTATTCTATCATCGAACAACACAAACTTTCTTCAAAAGCTCGCAACCTCCTACACCATCCAGTTTTATGATTCCACAGGCTCACTCAGAGCTTCTGAACTGCTTCTTGTTTCAGTGTGGCTGTAGGCATCTCAGCATAAAGAACTTGTACAGCAGAATCGGTTATCTGAATGCAATACATAGCACCTAACAAAGACGATAGTTCGGCGAAGCATAGTTAGGCACGAGCATTTAGCATTCAGCTCGTAGACTTACCATTTATGTGCCTGCATGTAGACTTACGAATCTCATATTTAGAACAAACAAAAGATCTACCCTTTTCAAGTGATGCACTTCATATTATCTTGTTGCGACCAAAACACGCGTTCTATCAAAGTCGCGCTGCTAGCTGCTATCTCCTGTGTGGGACTCGTCCTTGGCTTTAACACGACCGAAACTCTCCAAGGTGAAAATCACTTAACTTTGGCATTCATGAGTTCAGCTTCACTTCTCTCTATCATCTCTCATCGTCCCACCTCGTTCTTGCGTTACCGACAAGTTATCCGATGCCTTGCAGTGCTGGGCTGGGTGGGCACAGAGATGATGTGGCTGATCGTGTGCTGGGGCCTGATGGCGCTTCTGTGCTATTTGGCTCTCAATCACCTTGGCACTCGCCCTGCTGACGAACTCACAAAAACCACCGTGCAGGCGGCAGAAGCGACGACGCCATCTCGACAGGCCGCGTGAGTTACGACAATTCTTTTTTCGTTAAAGTGTAAAGATTTTATTGAAACAAAGGCAGCATTTGCACTCTTGCATGCTAAGTTACAAGTCATGATTTCGTGTCACAATCGTCTGCGATGGTCGAGTGAATAACAAAAAAGGATCCCAGATGGCTTCTCTCAGTGCTCTTCTCTCCTTCTGGGCAAAACTTTAGCTGAGAGCGAGCAAAATAAATACTGTATACTCTAAAACTCGTCTTTTCTGAAGAATCTCAGTGCTCCGTCCGAGCAGAAGACTCTTAAAAATGATTCTAAATGTGTAATCAAAATGATACATGTTTGCTTCCCACACTATCTTTTTGTGAGGCTAGTCGCTTGTGTGTCATGCGTTAGTACTGTGAGTGTAACATGCGAAACTGCGAAAGCACTTTGATGATTACTTTAGCTTTTCACACTAATCTGCTTACTCTTGTTTGTGATTGAAACAGAGCGTTACAGAAATGCCTTTACAAAAAAAGTAGAAAATAATCATAATCTCGAATATTACATATTTCTTTTGTCTATTATATGTTACCCAAAACAGGCTTTTTTGTCTTTTACATTTTTAATGAAGCTTCTTCTCTAAAGGCTCAAGAGAAAATCATTTAAAATTCGTAACTTCCATTTTATCGGGGTTGGAGAAGATGGATGGGCTAGCTTGTGCAATATTGATCAGTAATCTGCTACTGCACAGTTTTGTTAATTTCCTGTACTCTACTCCTCGAATCATATTGGATACCAAATCAAATGGTAGTTGTGTGGCGTTTTGCTACTGCAGGTGGTGAAGAAGTTCAAGTCGTTGTTGTTGTTGCAGATTTTTGTTGTAGAACAGAGGAGGTTCCAACGGCTTTTGCAAAAGGCTAGCTTCTCTGCCTATTCTGTTGTATACGAACTCTCTTGTTTACTTATCTGATTATGATCATTCTTTACACCAGTGTTTGTGCAGCACTTCGGCTTCGTTGTGCATGAAAAGCTCGACGGGCAGCGTCTATTTTTAGTGGAAGAGAGGCTGTTTTTGCTTGGGAATTCAGAGTTATATGCAAATATTGCAGCTCAAACAGCGAATGGACGAACGAAGTATTAGCATGGATATACAACAATTTTCTAAAAGTACCTGGGCCTTTGGAAGCATGGATAAAATCATTAAATGACGCTGCCAAAAAAGTCAATCGACCGGTTGGTTTAAATGCCAGAAATGACGTTATATAGTGAGATGTTTTTATCTACAGACTGAATGCGAGGTAATTTTTGACGGGTTTGGAGATCACATGCACGTGAAGCAACCGCCCAGATTGAGCCATATACGTGTTGAACACGGTCCACGTGAACATTTGGTATGTCTAATTACTCCCGAACATGGAAGGGAAGGGAGTGAGTTTGATTTCAGACGCTCAGAACGAATATCCACCTGCCATGCGTATGCCTCAAAGTCGTTTCATCTCAGCGTACGCCTGAGAGACTTCTGGTCAGCAACTTTGACGCGAACATCGTTGACCTACGTGGGGAGGTGCGCCACATGCTATTTCACGAGATCAGAAAATGCTCTTTTGCCACTTAGAAGTGTTTCTGGAAGATTCCACCAAAGATTGCTGAGTGCATCTTGCTCTTCCTTACTCATTCTCACACATGTATCTTTTTTTTGAATCTCTTCTCTTTGCTAGGGATGTTTCCTGCCTACAAGTATCTCCTGCCATACTGAGGAAGAGTACCCCGTTGAAGTGGCGTTCCCACATTGCTGTATACTCTTTTGCATGGTATGAAATGCTAATACTAAACCTCCTCGGCTGTCTGCTAAGCTCTCTAGGAGGAGCTTCGATAAATGAGATAAAATTGAACACACGACCGAAGTAAGGTTATGCAAATCTTCTTCCCTGAGCTCTAGTGAAGTCGTTGCGATTGTCAACGAACTCGCGAGACATATCTCGTGCTCTAACAGCTCACCTTCAATTCTCCATTTGTGTAGAAATATCGTTGAGCTACTTTTATCCTTATTGCATGGCTTCTTTTTATTAAGAAAATTCTCATGATTCTCTTACACTTTGAGGCCCTTATGCCAAGACGCTTTGCAGATACCAGAGACAAAGTCGAAATCAGCATTCTCTGCCTTCCAAGACAGCTAGTTTGTTTACTTCCTTGTGAGGACTCGTTGTTGCAGAATTTAATAAGTACAAAGAGGATATTGATGGTGTAGAGAAGAATATATAGTGTAGTATTCACTCAGTGTTCTTAAAGCTAGACGATTGTCAAGCGCTTCTTTTTTCAAATGGCAACATAAACAATCTCTCCTCTAAGGTCGAATGTCGCTTTGCATGCATAGCAAACCAGCTTTTTCTGATGGGATGTTTCAATGGAAGACCGGAAATGGACATCGAACTAACGAACACAGATTCCAACGCAGTGAGTCGCATGTATACTGAAATCAAGCCCCAGGACATTCACTGAAATTTTTCAGCAGTCACAAGTATCGCTCGGTCTAGTCGAGGAGAAGATTCGCCGCTGTCTGTTGTCAGCTGTTACTAACATCAATCTTTCTGAAGCGCTGCCTCCAAATCCAGACGATTGGCGAATGGATGAGACCCAGTTGATCGATAACTTCCATGAAAGGAGCTACCATGATCAGGTGGTTAAGCTATCTTTAACGCAAAAAAGGAAGTTGATTTGGATTTAGAATCATTCTCCCGTCATCTCCACCTCAACCGCCACACCCTCGCCGAAACCTGCTGTAGATCCCAGCAGGCTTTCAGAAGAGATATCTGGGGCTGCCATGCAGGTTCCCGACCTCTTTAAGAAACTCAATGAATCTCATGTACGAAGCGTTTATCGAAACTTCTGTGAATTCAAAAAGAATCGATTCTTTAGTTGATCTCCCCAATGACAAACAACAATGCTCCTGCCAACAAGCTCCGCGTCAAGGTGATAAAGGCCAATCACCTCGGCAGAGGCACAGGTCTGCGCGAGTTTGGACGCGAGGCATGAGACAGCAAAGGCCAGCCGTCATTGTTTCTGGAAGTAAACGGGAGCTCCAATCCTTCTCGCGACCTCGATTGCTTTCCTCACACCCCTCATACCTTAACAAGAGGGAGTAGAGATGGGAGACAGTTGTAGTGTTCGATTGAGCCATTAGAGTCTTAGTTGCTGAAATAAAAGAAAAAAGAACTGTATAAAGTATAAAAACGAGGAAGAAAGTAGCTGATAAAGTGCTTAGAGAAAGCAAAGGTGCTAGCGTAGATATAGACATGCATTCCTCGCCAATTTTTCCAGAAATTCTGGACTGTTGACCCGCTCTTTGCCATTGTTACGAACCAGTTGTTGAACTAAATCCCTCTAAAAATGTGTAAATAATATTTGAAAAGTTCCTCACCAGCATGTTGCTCACCAACGTCAAAAATTAGTGTGTGGCCTGATGCCATACACAAAAAGGTGCGAGGAAAGTAATTGAAGGTGCAAAGCTTGGAGCTCACCAAGTGCTTCTGCAGCAAAGGTGGCCAACCGCCCGCTAGTTTCATTTTGGACATTAGCATGTGAACAACGTTATTTCCAGCTATCATCGATGTCCAACAGCCGTACGTGGTCATTGAAATGGACGAACCAGCCCAGAAATTTACAACGACCAAAGGAATCAACGCCTGTCCATACTGGGAGGAGTCATTTGATTTGTAAGGTTTTTGGATAATTAAGTGGTCTTTACACCTTGTAATCATTGCATTCCAGCGACATGACTCCGGCGTCAGAAGAGATCCTTTTTGAAGTGTACGACACAGGCCTAAAGGCTTCCTCTGATGACGACAAAAACTTTTTGGGTCTCGCCATAGTAAACTTCGAAGAGATCAAAAGAAGCGGTGAAGTAGGTTCTAGCTACTTGAATCCGACTTTCACTGCCAAGCATACCTTTCGCAAATAGAACAAAATTTACACATGTGCTCCTACTCTTGTATCGTCTGAAAATGTTCGATTCTCGCTGTCAAGCTTTGGACATGACAAGCTCTAGCTTCATCTTCATGTGTTTAGCATCTTCACAATTTGAAACTCCAAGGTCGACCTTATCGTAAAGATGAAGTAGGTGGAGAGCTCACTATACAGGTAATGCATATTCGGTCTGACGTTTATTTAGAGAACAGCTTTCGGTACAACTAGCAGACATCTTTTTAGTTTGATTTCTACTATGACCCAAAGACAGTGACGCCTGGGAAACTTGTAGATTCTGTGAAAGTCCGGAACACCAATGGCAGTGAATTCCGAGAGACCGTCACAACACAGAGACGAGCGATTTACGATCCTCATGGTAGAGCTTGCTTAGGGCAGAAACATTCTCTGATTGAGTGCTATATATTGTTTTTAGACAATTACGAGAATACCGAAGTAATGCCGAGAAAAACAACTACGGTAGTGGTGAAGACTGTGTCGCAGGTATGTGCAACGTTTACATACTTCAATCAGTAAAGTTTATTCCTCGGCAAAAGCATCTCGGTTACAGCAGCTGAAAGAGAAGCCTACGATTCAGTCTGTGCATGGATCAATGGAAAATGCTGTTGATCCTCACATACAGCAAATGCTCGACCAACAATTTCAAAACGACCCGAGCATGGAGCAGCTTAGAGTTAGCGCCTAAACAAAGTTTCGCACAGTCATGCAACAGCCCTTATAGGAAAACCTCCAAAGAGCTGCTGTTAGCGCTAGTCCACAGTCTCAAACCCGTACTGCTGAAAGCAATACTCTACCAAGGTCAGTTCCGCGTACTGAATCCGTGGAGGAACGAAGAGGAAGAGGTAAGAGTAAGTATGACGACCGGGAATGGATCACTTAGAATGAGAGCGTCATTCATCCCCATTCTAGATCGCGAAAAGAAGCAACCAGCGGCAAAACGGGAGCGGTCTTTTTTCGGAGAATTGCGGGATAGACTTAGCGGTAGGCGGCGAAGCCAACCCCAAAGGTTTGTGAAAATGAGCATGAATTGCGAAGTTGGTCGATTTTGACTTCAAGTTTGAGCATTCCGCAAGTTTACTAGATTTCTATAGGATGATCCATCAGTGATGCATCAGAACCTTGGAATTCCGTTAAAACGTTTAAATCAGTACTCGTAAAGAAGATTGTGAAGTTTCCACTAGTGCTTGATGCAAACATATGCATAGCGCCTCATACATGCAAATCTGTGGGTCACAAGATTTTATGACTCGTGTAAACTTTCAGGACTTTTTCAACCCATTCTCGGGGAAGACCCACTGATGCTAATACATGCAAACACTCAGACTCATTCTTTCCAATTTTTGGTCTCTAAACTTCCGGGAAGTTTAACAGAAGTTTATTTTGACTTTGGCTTTGGCATTAGTCTTTCTGAACTGAAAGATGTTTTGGTGAATAGTTGTGATTTTTGAGTTTTAGCCTTTTTAACTTGATTCATATAAATTCGCTTATGTTCAACAAAAATGTTTACTATATAGGAAAGTATAAATAAAATTTCAAGCTCTTGAAAGTGACCAGTAATTCTTTGTGAAAGACACGATCAATTCAAGAGAATCCTGTTGCATCCATTGCGACTATTTACTGCGATGGCGTAAACATCTACCAAGATGTCAAAGTTGAGTATTCTGCGTTCTCCTCTCCTTGGTAGCAAAAATGAGTTGTCTATGCGCTTTGTCTGCAATGCTTTCTCCAGCTCTCAGATTTCTAGTGTCTATCTTATCTCAGATCGAAGTCCATGGACGTCAATGGACCGGAAATCGAAGAAGCCGTTAGTCTCCCTCCTAGTCGTGATCCGAGTAGGGTACGATACGCAGGTGACATTTTAAAAGCGCCATGTTTTCTTTTTGTGTGTGGCTTAGAAACAAAGCGCTGACTAGAAATGATCATTTTGCGTTGATTGTGTGTTTGTGCAAATGCTGTCTCTTATCTGGAGTTCTGGTTATCTAAATGAACACGACAGCGACTCAGATCTTCATAAGAGACATCTATAAATGGAACAACGCTGACCTGGCGCTGAATCGAATGAATGAATTTAGGATAAGCTGAATCCCATCTCTCGTAAAATAACCGCCGTCAGCATTGTTAGAATTCTAGAGGAATGTACTTTTTGCTAAATAGCCTCCAGTTCTTTCAGGCCCCGGCGAAAGATACAACGAGACTCAGTCGGTGGGCGGGAAATCGGGCGAGTCCAGCAAGAGCCTTTATCAGCACAGTACCCTAGTGCTCGAACTGGAGCATGAAAAGCAGCTCAAGTTTGTGGTTCTTTCATCAAAAGCCGTGGATGCCTGCCATCTTTGCCGTTGCAGATATTTTTTAATTCCTCCGTCAATGCTGAATGAGCCAGCTGCTGCGAAGCTGATGCGACGCGGCAAGAAGCTGCACATCTACAATGAACACACTTTCGTAGCCGTGAAAATCCGAGGGTATCTCAATTTGTCAATTCCAAAAGCATGGCAGTTTGCCTTGCTTTACGTTGCTACTTCCACATCATATATTCATCTGTACTAGAAGTAAGAACCTAAAATTGCATAATAGTTTCTCTTCTTTCAGTGGCGTTAGTTGCAATGTATGCCAACAACGGATAAAGTCAAGTTTTTCGAAGCAAGCCTATCAGTGCCGAGGTGAGGAAAGCAACTTAGAGACAAGACAAATGAGATCTCAGTACAGTGGTGTCATTGCAGATTGCAAACTCGTGTGCCATAAATCATGTCATTACAAAACAGATGCGTTTTGCACACAAAGTAATGTCTCCAAGTTACAAATGTGAGTTCCTACTCAATTGTCTCATATCCGGCGATCAACTTACAGAATGAGCGCCACTCTTTCAGCTCGCCTCAGTTTTGGTGATTTCCAGGAATACGTCGCAGTCATTCTGCATGATTTCTATCCTTCATAAAGTCTTGTCAGTGTTTGCCAATTTCTAAAAGTAAATTTCTAATGCTAGAAATGCGCCTTAGCAAACGATCGCAGTCAATCTTTCCCACTCTGGACCTACTGCCTTTCCTCTCTTTACTCTTTTGACCCTCACGGCATGTAAATGAACCCAACCAGTCTTCCTGTAACGAAGACTTTTCAGAGCCAAAGACGTTGACTGGGCACACTTCCTCAGCCATTACCAACTCGAGGAATTCATATCGCTTGACGGTGTTTGATTCATCCCCGCTTTCTCCAGTGCATCTACAGAGGACCAGCAAAACCAGTGCGATGTGTGAACGAATTAACGCAATTCATCCCATTCTTATCCGGTATCGATGAGGTGATATGTCTGTACCCTACCGCAGCTCCTCTTTCCATGCTTGCCAAACCTCTACCTGCAATCCTTGTATATCCATAGTCCTACAATGCCAAAGTCAGAAGCCAAAGTACTTTGTGTCCATATTGCTCAGCTTTAACTAGTCTGACTGTCCCCTACGCGTACAGCAGGGGTTCTTCTCTCTTTTCTAACAAATACCATTTACGCAAAGCGATCCCGAACGTTGTACCCCAATATCATCATTGAAATTACTTTCTATGAAGGTCATTCTTCGAGTACTTTACCATATAGTGCAAGCTAGAGTATTTATAAATCAGACGAGATGTGGTGAACTGAATTTGAAGTTTATGGTTTCACAGACACAGTAATGTCGTCTTCTCAGTTTTATGCTAATAAATATTGCAAGAAAATTGGCTTATCAATTGAAGTTTTTATATAACTTATGACAAACGAGCGTGTTGGAGACAGTTTAGAGATGTAAATTTCTTGTTGTCAAAACTACTATTTATGCTCACTTGACGGGCAACCTTCGTTGTAGCTTGATGTAATTTGTAAGGGTATGCCACGAAGGAGTATACGTAGACGGGTGGAGGACATTAGGTCGCCGAAAAAGGGCGGTCCCCACGGTCATTTGCGACAAATACGCATCTTTGTACATACGCGGACATGCGTTCCTGCAGGGAATCCGCGCGACTCTTCCTAATTCGGCGACCTAATGTCCTCCACCCTACGTAGACACAAACAGCATTCAGCTTTTCTGCTAGCTTCACCACGATCACGAGTTTACTCCAGTTTGAGTCTGCCTTTATCCAATCTGCCCAGTAAAAGTTTCTCGGGGTGCCTGATGCCTGACTAACTTCACTGGTGGAGAGAATAAAGAGGGCTGTCCTCTTAAGAAAATCATACTCGCGAGAAACGTGTAGTACTGAATTATATCGTTAAAGTAGTGGCTCTCCAAAATTTGGGCCCCTGTATTTTTGTGGATTGCTAACCTTCCCAATTGTGTTAAACCTAACAAATCAGCACACAAAGGACCCGCATAGAAAGCGGACGAACTGTATCCCTTTACATCAGCTCTCGCCGCAGGTGCAGATACTTCAAAAGATGAGCTGAAACTTGAAGGGTAGCCGGCAGGTCGCCTAGACGCGCACAGAATCGCCCTCCGTCAACCACTCGACTGCAGTTTGGTGCGCGGGGTGCGCCAGAGTGCGCCGCACATCACTGGATGCGCCGGAAGTCGCTTCGCATTGCCTATCTCACTTCAGAATAGACGATCCGAACCCAAGGACACCGTTCGACTCAGCTCGCTGAGGCGCCTCTTCTGATATATAGAGGTATCGCAGTTTGTCAGGGTACTTAGGTAATACCGTGGGGAGAAAGTTTTCACCAATCTCTCCAGCTTTTTTCTTAGATGCGTTACTCTTGCACTGAAAACAACATTTACGTTGTTGTTTGTTGTTAATAGGAGTACGACAGAAGTTTTTTGCTTAGATTTATTGCAAAATATGTTCAAGTTGTTTCGCTGATGCGCTGATTGCGACCACTACATTCATTTGCCGTTTAAGGCCTAAGGCCTAAGGCATACCTCGCGCGACTCCGGTCGCTGCGCGATTTGGCATAACAGCGACTCTTTGTAATTCGTCGTTAATGCGCTTCCTTTGGTCAGGACTTGACCCGTTTGCAACAACTTACACAAGCTAGCCGCCTATGCGTTCGAGAAGCGCGCACGATAGATTTGTAGAAATCTGGCAAATCGCCAAGTCGCTTGGAAGCGGCGATTTGCCCCAATCGCGTCAGGTATGCCTTAGGCCTAAGGCATACCTCACGCGATTCCGGACGCTGTGCGATCTGGCACTGCACTCTTCATGACTGGTCGTAAGCGCGCCTTGCATGGGCCAGACTTGAAGCTCTTGCTATAACTTATGGATACTACGTGCCTATGCATTAAGGATCTGCGCACGGTTGACTTATAGATATCTCGCAAACTGCCAAGTCGCGCAGATGTGGCAATTTGACGAAATCGCGCGATGTACGCCTTAGGCCTAAGGCACAGTGCGCAGGGATCTACGATGTAAGGTCAATTTATTTGTTCGAAACGTTGCTTATGGCTGCTTCCACGTTCTCGTTCTAACCAAGGTAGGATCTAGTAGTACAAGTAGTACTTACAATTGGGAAAATGGTATCATTGAATGCATTTTGATAAGCTGATTCCACATCTACCCTCTATGTTTGCTTAACTTTTCTCTAAGAGAAGTTATGGACTTTAAATGTCCGAACTTCGCAAACAATAAATACTATACAACCAAGAGTTGGCGATTCAAGGACAGTTATTTATGTTCCATTAAGGTTTTCTTCCTTGTAGTCAGTACACACAAAATCATGCCAATTATTAATTTTTTGAAATGATCCCAAAAGCGCAATGCAAACGTAACTCAGTGACTTCACACTTTCAAACGCTCATACTTTTCTCAGAGACTCTTCAGTAGCTATGGAAGGCAGATTTGGGATCACCTTATTTAGACACATGTCATTATATGTCACATTTTACTCCAGATCGCCTAGCTTCGTTCCTCGGGCATTTCCTGATTGTAATAGCAGTTGATGTTGTTACTTGGCGCTCACGTGTTTTGGCTGTGTACCATAAAAATTTTTTTGTGAGCACGTGTTTTCCCGTAGCATATCGCAGCGCGCATTGTACATAAAAGAACTTTAGTAATTTGTAAATGTGCTACAAGTGCGCGACACTGAATACAGAAACCAAATTCATCTCGCGCGAGAAGAACCCTACAGCTTTCTCCAAAAAACGCGATTTTGGATTTGAGACAAGATTTGTGAGATTGTGAATGTGAATTTATAAGCTTATAATTCGGGAGATAGTGCAGGTGAACACATCGGTAAAGCATGGTCCGATTGCACTGTCCACAGAAAGTCTAACCTACAAAAATAAGAGCAGGCAAACGTGCGAGATTGACTAAGCTAGATCTCGCATACTGTGACTTTACTGTAAAGCCCTCTCGTACAGAATAACTAAGATAGTAAGTAGTGGATGTTGAAACCTTTGTGAGCGGAGTTTCCGGATAAATTAAGATTATTGATATTTCAGCTGAAACCTGCGGCGAGCTCAGAGCGAGGAACGAGGAAAAATCAAATGTCCGGATTTTTGAGCTACTGTAAATAGTTAGATAGGCATAGATATTTAGGAAGTTGCTGACCATTTACGCCCTCGCAAAGGACTTTGTATGCTATTAGAGACGAGAAATTGCTCTATCGAGAGAGCCCTACGGGAGTTCTCTATCGACAGGAAGCATTGAGTTGCGCCCTCACAAAAATCCGTCCGCAGAACGTAAGTGAGAACCTCAGGTCAACGCGATACTCAGCTCATGTGGGAAATATGGCATGCAGATCAACAGTAGTGATGCCAAACTCGCTTTGTAGTTCTACTATAGACGTACGGTGAATAGACGGTTCGCAGAAAAATATCTCCAAAAATCACCACTCTTTCTCTCGGCTTTGGGGAAGAGCCTCCAAAATCCAGATTTTTTCCGAGGATGTTGTGTGTACACAGCTCTGAAAAATGCTTACTAAAGTTTCTCTATGTGCAATGCGCGCACCGATGTGCTAAAAAAATTACGTTTATTGTACAAAGCTAAATCACGCAAGCGCTAAGTAACAGTATCAATTGCACTGTTTAGAGCATGACGTCATGATGAGAATTAGCTAATATTATAATCAGAAATCACGTTGAAATCACCGACGATGATCTACAAGATCATCGTCGGTGATTTGAACGCAAAGATCGGCGCCAGAAGGTCGCCTGCAGAACCTCACATCGGGGCCCATAGACTACAGTGGAACGAACAAGGGGAAAGGCTGTCTGAGTTCATCTTGACGACGAGGACCACCTATGGAAACTCGCAGTTTCAAAAGCCCCCTTCCCGACGCTGGACCTGGGAATCTCACGGTGAAGAGTACCATAACGAGGTTGACCACATCGTTAATAGAATGTATTGCCTGACGGACGTCGCTGTTGTTCCGAAGTTCTTCACGGGATCAGACGATCGCCTCCTACGTGCCAAGTTTTACTTCTCACAGAATAGAGAGAGAGCCGTAAAGTTCAGGAAACATCGCCCCGCGACTACTATTAACTGGGACCTGTTTTCTTCGATCCGGCTTTTGGAGAAATACCGTGATCGACAACACCGACGAAGAACACCAAGGTTCGTCCAGCATCTCCACGAGTGCGCTAAAGAAGCCGAGAGTCTGAGAAGTACAACTACGACTACGACCGCTTCTGAAAGGATTGCGACCCTGCGGAGAATGCGACTCAGTGACTTCCGAGAAGAACTTGGAACGAATTCCGAAAACCACCAGGGAGCTCGAAAGAAGAAGATTTCTGGGGTTTCAGTTTCAGAACAGCTTTGCAGGAGGATCTCAGGAAGTACAGGCAAGCCAAGATACTGGAAGCAGCCGAAGGAAGACGAAGTCTTACGAAGTGCCGAAGGGACCTCCTTGAATATCACGTACCGCTGGCTGCATTATGTTGTCCGAAGACGGGACTCCACTTCTTCCCGATATAACATGGAATCTATCGCGAATAACTTCTACACCAACCTCTTCGGCTCATCGACACTCGTGCCGATGCC